CATAAAATATTTATAATTAAAATTAAACAGAAACTCAAACAACTCGACTCGAATTTTATAAACTCGAATAAAAAATTTCAAATCAAATTTGAGTTATCAAATAAAACTCGTAAACTCGAATAATTCATAATTTTTTTACTTGACTTGAGCGAATGCTCACCCCTAGACGTATCATCATAAGATAATGTCATCTCATCATTGAAAAAATAAGAAAAATATCACGTCAGCATTCTTGTTAAACTTAGATATTCACGTGCTTTGTGATGCCTTATTAAACTTATATATATAGAGCAAAGAAAGAGAAAGAAAAACAACAACATGTTAGTTTAGTGGGACGTCGTACTAAATTTCTTAAACAATGTAGGTTATAATACTAAGGTTTGCGTACGGAACAAACTGGTTTAAGAGGGTCATTCTCATAATAAATTTTCGTAAAATTCAATTTGAATTTGTTGATCAATAAATCAAACATTGATGATTAATTCATAAAAAAAATGAAAGAGAGAGACAAGAAGCATAAAGATAGAGAGAAAGAGAAAGGAAAGGCGACGATGTTTGTTCCCCCGGAGATGTGGCGAAGGGGACGGGGAGAAAGCAAATGAGAGAGTGATTTGAAGGTGGTGAAGTGACTGATTTTGTGGGAGAGAAGGGGACTCTTTGTGTTGATTTTGTTTTCGGGTAAATTACACGTTGAGTATCTAAACTGTATTTTGTTCTATTTTGATATTTAATTTTTTTTAAAATCATACCTAACGTTCAGTTTAGATTTCATTTTAGTATCTTATCGTTAAAAACTTAACGGTGATGTTGACGTATCTAAGGATGAGCAAAACTCGACTTGACTAAAAATTTGATCCTTTCAACTCAATTCGACTTGAAAAAATTTGACTCGAATTGACTTTGAGTTGTAATTTCATAAACTAGACTCGAAAAAGTTTAAATTCAAGTAGAGTTATAAATTAGAACTCGAATAACTAGAATTTTTATAAACTCGAATCGAAAAAATTTCAAATCAAGTTTGAGTTATAAAATAGGATTCGTCAACTCGAATAATTCATAATTTTTTGACTCGACTCGATTGAATGCTCACCCCTAGACGTGTCATCATAAGATAATGTCATGTCATCATTGAAAAAGTAATAAAAATATCACGCCAATATTTCTGTTAATTTATTAATAGTGTGGTACCAAATTGCAATCTAAACTAAATATTAGGCATAATCTTGGAAAAGTAATAATTTTATGTACCCAAACTAAATAAAAATAATAATTTAGATATTAAATATGTAGTTTATCCTTTGTGTTTCCCTCTTCAGATCTTTGGGGCAATGTTGGTCGACCCTTCCTCCTTTTCCTCTGCACATACTGTTGCATTGTTTATATCTCTATTTTCTTTTAGAGTAAACTTCATATTTAGTACCTAAACTATTACTTTTATTCTATTTTAGTACCTAAACTTTCAATTTTTTAAAATCATACTTAATGTTTAATTTTGTTCAATTTTAGTAACCCGCAGTTAAAAATTTAGGTACTAAAATAAAACAAAAAGTTAACATTAGGTATAATTTTGAAAAAAATTGAAAGTCTAAGTACTTAAACGGAAAAGGAGTGATAATTTATATACTAAACATATAATGTACCCTTTATTTTATTTTAGGGTTTTTATTAGGGTTTCAGGTAGCATGTGTCCTCATTCTGTAGGTTTACCCGACCCACCTACTTTCTGTTGTTTTGTTTCAATGGATCAAATGATATTTATTAGCCAAACATCTCTGAATAAGAGAGTTTTGGTACCATCGTTTCCTTAAAAAAATTAAATAGAATATTATGATTATAAGATAATATTTGTTTAATATATATATATATAGAATAAAGTTATGATCGAACTCCGGGGAGACTAATTTACTTTACAATAAAAGAATAAAGATTTTTTTAAGTATTTAAATTTAAAAATTAAGAGAAAAAATATCCTTTGATGGATTTTAAACTGTAGAAAACCCTAAAATATTATTATACATAAATGGCTTTGTCCATGTATATGAACATCATGTGTAGCTTAATTATCGAGTCATGTTATCATTAATCACCGTTAATGATTAATTAACATGGTTTGATTTAAATGATAAGTAGTTTGGTATCGTTTAAGTATGTTTCGAGTTTGAGACCTTTTGTACGTAAAACATTCTTATTGAGAAACTTATCTATCAAAATCGGAGGTACGACGCGAGTCAATCTTAGCTCCATTCTTGCTATATAGTTCAACGTATGAAACTCTTTATTAGCCTCTTCTTTCTTCCAATGGGGGCAAAAAGCTTTCAACGGCAAAGCAATGGGTGTTTGCATATACCAATTAAGGTATGTTGTGCATTTACCATTTAGTACCTAAATTATCAGTTTTGGTCTATTTTAGTACCTAAATTTTTATATTTTTTTTCAAAACATTCTTAAATTTTTATTTTTATTTTATTTTAGTACCGTCATTTAAAACGTAATGTTAAATTTTGAAAAAAAATAAAAGTTTAGGTACTGAAATGGCCAAAATTGGTAGTTTAGGTATAAACGCGTTAAGTATTAACGGCATAGTACTAAAATAAACAAAAATTAAAATTTAGATATAATTTAAAAAAAATAAAGTTAAACAGACCAAAACTGATAGCTTAGATATTAAATATATAAATTATCCTACTAATTATTATACCAGATTTGGTGACATTTGGAAATACATGTTTAGCTGCTTATTACTACAAGGAGTGGTCAAACCATGAACAAAAGAAGTGAAATCTTTGTTTTCTGATTCCTACACATGACAATTATAAATCTGTTGGGTCATAGTGTTAGAGTAGAGCGGATTAGCAAAAATTATCCAATAAAGATTCAAGGGGATGTGTTCCCGGTGAATCTTATGAAATTATCATTTGATGAATTCGAGATTATATTGGGCATGAATTGATTATCTCCGCATTACAGTTGGATTGATTGTCGCATGAAATGATTATTTTTTTAAAGATGCGGAGGGTAATAAAATAATAGTAATTGGTGAAAAAGGAAAATCAGTGTCCAATGTAATATCAACAATAATGGCTGTCCCTTTTTCCCATATGTATGGGGTAAGGGGAGGTAAGATAGTAGGTTACCCCCAACACCAGGTTGAGAGTAGCTTCCGTAAGAGACCTCCGAATTATGAAATGCCCTCCGTGGGACTCGATCCCACGACCTCAAGGTTAAGAACCTTGTGCTCTACCAACTGAGCTGGATGGTCATTTCTAATGTAATATCAACAATGATAGCAATGAAAATGATGACAAAAGATTGCACAACTTTCTTGGCAAATATGATTGACACATGAGCATCTGAAGTTCAACTGGAGGATATTCCAACAATTGGGGAATTTCCAAATGTTTTCCCTGATGAGTTACCTAAATAACCTTCTGATCGAGAAGTGGAGTTTAAGATTGATATTTTTTTTTGGGTACTATGCCTATCTCGATGGCTCCGTACATGATGGCTTCAATGAAACTCAAAGAGCTTAAGGCTCAGTTGCAGGAGCTACTAGATTGAGGTTTTATTAGACCAAGTGTATCTTCGTAGGGTGCACCAGTATTGTTTGTTAAAAAGAAGTATGGATCGATGCGGGGTGCACAGTATTTTTGAAAGACACACGAACGGAGTTATCCGACTCATGATTTGGTACTAATGGCTATGGTGTTCGCTTTGAAAACATGGTGTCACTATCTATATAAACTATCCCTGTTATGCTATTCAACTCATGAAACTAATGTCTTAAATTATGATGTTAGTCCCTATAGTTTTATTTTTTTAATTTTTTAAAGCGCGTTTTTTAAAAATACTTTTAGGAAATTTGATGTATCAAGAAAACCTTCAAAGTCGCGCCCCTTGAAATGCACCTTCCCGCGTGGTGCCATGTCAACATTTCTCCTGGAAGGTGCGCTTAAGGAAACATGCTTTTGGTCCACCTAAGCAAAGGCGCGTTTCACGTAATGTGCCTTATTATAAAGGATGTTAGATTGGTAAAATTTTGAGAAACGGTGTCTGACAGGTAATATTATAATATTTGGGTATTTTTAGGTAAAAATGCCCTAAAAATCCAGGTCAAGACAAATTTGGGTGGATGATACATATTTTCGAGTTAGGTCGGATCATGTGGAGGTTATAAAATTTTCAGATCAGGTCGAGCCTCAATGGAGGATACATATTTTCGGATCAAGTCTGGTTGGGTAGACAAAAGACATGACCCTAATTTGACCCATTGTCATCCTTATATGCGATCATGCAATTAAACTAGGGATGGACATAAGTCAATCTATGTCGAATTTTCGATCAATCCAATTTGACCTGAAAACTATACATCTACTACTGATTTGAACCCGATCTAAAAATTATACATTTTTATTTGATCCGAACCAATCCATCCTTCAAAGATAAAACTTGAACCCAATCTGACTCAACTCGAAATAATATATTTATAAAAATATTACTTTTATTTAATAAAAGTAAAGATTTAATTGAAAATAATAATATATAGATTAGACTTATTGCAATTATCCTTAAGTATATAAGATAAAATTATATTTTTTATCAGATCGGATCATATATTTTTATCTTAAACCCGAATCATATCCAAATCAATTCCAACTCAAATATTATCTTTAAAAATCCTGACCCGAATCTAATTTTTCTTTAAAAACCTGACCTAATATAATTGAATCAAGTCGAAACCCGTCGACGCCGGTCCCTTGCCCGTCCCCAAATTAAACCATGTTAAACGGAGAAAGGAAAAGAGAGGCAGAAGAACCAAGTTCGTATGTAAAAACTGCAGAGAAAATCTTCACTACTCTTAACACGCTCTCTCTTTCTTTCTTTGATCTCATCGATTCACAAATGAATCCTTCGATCCTATTGAATATTCCTTCAGATCCATTACCCTTTTTCCAGATTTCTCTCCTTTGATTCAATCTTCAAAGTTTTTTTTCCCTTAAAAGTTTGATCATCCTATTAAATCTCACGATCCCTCGATTCTCTCTCACAAACCCAGTTTTTCTCGTCATGGGTTCGACTTCCATTCGCTTCCTCTTCATTGCTTCCTTCGTCTTCTTCGCTCTGTCCTTCATTTCTTTTGCTCAGGTACTATTCATCTCTGTTTATGTATTTTTTTTATACTTTTTGAAAGCTTATTCTTTCAAATTAATGTAGATAATGAAATGGTTTTTTTCTCTATTTGTGTAATTTTTCAGGATTCAGAGGTTCAAGCTGAGAGGGAGGAATCTGGTGGGTCAATCAAAGATTTGGGCCGCCGGGGAATGGTCTGCTTTCTCTTCTCCCCCTCCCCTTTTTCCCATCCGTTTGATTGTTGATAAACTTAGAAATTACAGAGTTCACATGATATAGTTAATTTCTATTTTGAATTTTGATTAATTGCTTAGTTATTACCTGTTGGGAAGTAGTTTTTCTTTTTATGATTTTGTTTTGCTTTCGAGCAGCTGATTAGGAAATAGGGTTAAGTAGTAAAACAGGGTGTTAGTTAATTAACCTGAAAGTGTTGGACCTTAGCTTCATCGTAAGATTTGTGTTTACCTTGCAATTTACAATGTTATGCTACTTTTTTCATCCTTGTAATTGAAGATGTAATTTGTGTCAGCATTCAGATTATCCGATTATGTTGATGAATTGATTTATGCAATGCAGATCGGTGTGAAGAACCTTCAGAATAGTGTACTAGACGATCCAGTGGGTACAGCTCTTGGTTTTGATTCTGGTATTGGCATCTTGGATGCATTCTTTGCAAGTTTTTCCATGATAATTGTCAGTGAGGTTTGTGCATTCAGATCTCTCTCTCTCTATATGTGTGTGGGCGCGCACTCGCTTGCGCTTACAAATTTATGTTAGAAATTATGTGCTATCAAAGGAAGGTCTTTTGCTGAGAAACATGTGCATTCATCATATTTTTTTATAACCAATACCGTTTGGAGAAAATGTTGAATTGGTGTGCTGTGGATACAATGACAGATTGGAGATGAAACTTTTATAATAGCAGCTCTTATGGCTATGCGGCACCCAAAGTCAACTGTTCTATCTGGTGCACTAGCTGCCCTCTTTGTAATGACAGTACGTGGCCGTTTTCTCTCTCTCTTATGGCTTTGCTTGACCAACGAAATGTTTTAGGTTCCATCCCTTTTCGTTTCATATAAATGCTTTTTTTTTCATCATGTACTGTCAAAGTCATTTTTGCTAAATTGTTAATGTTATCAGTGTTTATTTTTTCTTCTCAAGTAGATACTTTCCACTGGACTAGGTAGGATTGTGCCGAATTTGATATCAAGGAAGCACACAAATAGTGCAGCTACAGGTATATATATTGACTTTGTCTTTTCATGTTCCTATTTATTCCTTCTAATGATTTCATTTTTTGGTCATTTTGTTATTAAACCATTTTTCCCGATCTGCAGTTCTCTATGCATTTTTCGGGTTTCGGTTACTTTATATTGCCTGGAAATCAGATACAAAGGGATCTCAGAAGAAGGAAATGGAAGAAGTGTGTCTCTCTAACTTTAAATTTGATATTTTTCTTTTACACTTCCATTCTATCATATTTGGTTACTATAGATGCTTCTCACAATAAATGAAGTGGAATAAGGTAACGGATATAATTTTGAGGCAGACCGAAGGGTTATACTTGTAATTTAGTTAATCGGGTTACCAAAGTGTTTCCTTTATCTGTTTCTATATTATAGAAAGTTGGATAAACAGGTGTTCCTTTTCGGAAAGTGAACAAGTTCTTCAAGAGGATCTTGAATTTCTGTTATCCTTTGCAATGTGTGCATATTCTTGCCTATATATGTGTATATATCTATGTTATATACACGTATATATTCTTTGGATTTTAACCTATCCAGCATCAATGATTCGTAATATTTAAAGATTGCATCATGTAGCATCTGAAATATTTTGTTTTCTTCGGTATCTACTTCATATTGAATTTGGTCTTTGATTATCTCGCATGTTTAGGTGGAAGAGAAACTTGAGACTGGCCAAGGGAAAACACATTATCGACGCTTTCTCTCCAGATTTTGTACACCAATATTCTTGGAGGTTTTGTTTCCACATTACTGCTCGTCTTAAATATTTAAATTTAGTCTATTTTCATACATTGATTAAATCATCTATTATTAATGAGTTCTTTTTCTCTTTCCATGCAGTCATTTATTCTAACGTTTCTGGCAGAATGGGGGGATCGAAGCCAAATCGCCACAATTGCTGTAAGATAAATCCTACCCTTGACCTTAAGTTATTACTGTTATCTGATGGTTGCTCATATTTTTGGGTTCTTTTGCTCGAGAAGTGTGTAAGGAGCAATAGCCGGCACGGCCTGCTCATGACAGTAATGGAAAAAGTGACCTAAAATGATGCATGAGCTTTTAGGGTTTAAATCTAGGGCTATGATAAACTTTTTCCCAAGTGTGTCTCAGGTTTGTAATTAGGTAAAAGCTTATATCAACCTTAAGATGCTGTACGAATTTCGTACTACTCTTATCCGGGATGTTTGTATTTGATGACTCTTGTAAACCATGGTTTCTGATGATCGTAACTGGTAAAAAGGAGGTTCAAACAAGTTTTCATCACTGATTTTCCAAGTTGTAAATGGATAAACACCTTATCTATGTGGTTAAATAAATAAAATAATGCAGTTGCGGTAATGTCTGTAATTTCCAAAAGGAATCGCATACCGTTGTCTAAATGAAGTCCTTTCTATTGGTGCAGCTAGCAACGCATAAAAATGCGGTGGGTGTAGCGGTAGGAGCTGTGATAGGGCACACAATCTGCACATCACTGGCCGTGGTGGGAGGAAGCATGCTAGCTGCCAAGATCTCGCAGCGCACTGTTGCCATGGTCGGAGGCTTGCTCTTCCTCGGCTTCTCTCTCTCATCATATTTCTACCCTCCCCTATGATTTGTAGGTTATAACGTGATTCTTTTGGAGAACCCAATTTCCTTTGATACTCTTCAAGTGTTCCTAGTGTTTTGTCTCCATAGTTTATGTGCAACACTGGAAGATAAGGTTTCAATGTTGGATTTTTTCCACAGAAGAAATGATGATGTCTTCGTGTTATATGGATATGCATTTGTTGTTTCTTAAGTATATCAAATCGGTATCGATACTTAAGTATCGGTAATGATTGTTTAGTACAATATCCTTTCATGAGTATCGATATTCGTTGACTCTTTTAATTAGGGATGGGCATGGGATTTGAACCTGACGAGTTCAGTGTTAAAAAAGGCACAAGGTGCACGATAGGGGTTTTATAGTTGAGGCGCAAGGCGCGTGTCTTATTGAACCATCCAACATTTGTTCCTCTTTTCCCCTGTCTTGCCTGTCTTACAAAGCAAATGAACAACTGAGTTAACGTGTGGGATTCATCTTTTACCGAACTCTGAAGCATCATCCTTCATTCCTTCTAAAATTCCTCCTTTTTATAACCCCAAGCAAAGTCGATCCTCTAACAGAACATTACCCTAACATCACAAGAAGTCACTGTTGTTGTCACTGTTACAAGCATGTATTCCGATAAAGCCTTAACTAAAGGTTGTTTCTAATAACGCCTAACTAAAGAATACTTCTCTCTATGTTCTCTCCATCTCACTCTAAGCCTAATTCCAGCACCAAACCCAACTGTCTACTGCTGCTGATCGTCACCCAGCCTAATTCCATCTCCTACTTCAGCAAAAAGAACAAACAATTGGAAAGGCGGCACTTTCTGCGCATTGCTGCGCCGATCAAAATCGCCTCGCCCATACCAAAATAGGCTCTTCACCTTTGCCTTAACGCCTAGGTGCGCCTCGGATGCGCCTTTTTAAACATTGGACGAGTTTCGACCCGACCTTGTTGGATTCTTTTAAAACAGGTTTAGGTCGGTTTTATTAGAAAATATGTTTGGATCGGGTAAGATTCAGTTTTTATCTCAAAAGTTCGGGTTGTGAAGTCGCCCCTAAACTCCGATCGAATTTCGGATGAAGGATATATATTTACTGACCGAGTTGGATTGACCGAAAATCTATCCCAACCTATGCCCATCCCTCTTCTAGAAACTAATTTTACATTAAATGTAGGGAGTATCAATCCCTACAAGGCCTTAAGATTTGGCTAAGAATCTTTAGGGAACTTGTATAGCGTAAACTTTGTCCTCAAAAGTTCAAATTTTTAATAAGTATTAAAAAATACTTCGAAAATCTATTAGTAACATTTTACTATCAATTGATATAATCGAATACAATGTTATCTCTTAAAATTATTTTTTTAAAATAAATTTATATGAGTATTTATAACGATTACGATCGATAGTATTTGTTATAGAGATTCTTAACTATTTAACAATGAATATTCAAATATACCATAGTCGTTAGTGTTTGAATATGAGATCTCTAGGAATAACAATCATATCTAGACTTGTACACGAACCGAACGAATACGAACGAGGGTAAGTTCATGTTCGTTCGTTTAACTTTAACCGAACAAATGAACAAACACGAACAATTAAATGAACAAATTTTTTTTTGTTCATTAAGAAATTTAGCATGTTCGTGTTTGTTCATTAATATGATAAATGATCACAAATAAACGAACGTAACGAACACAAACGAACGAACATAAAATTAATTGAGTTTCTATTTGAAAAAATTCTTTTCTTTTCAAATAATTTTAGTATTTATATTTTCTTTAATTGATTTGAGTATTTTTATTTGAGTTTAAAATTATCTGGAGTTTAAAATATGAATAAGTTTAAGGTTAAAATTTATTAGGTTTTAATATTTCAAAGGGTCTAGATATTGTGTCGAATATAAACAAACATAATTGAATGAATATAAACTAATGGAGTATCGAACACTCACGAACGTAAATGAACGAACGAGTCATTTGTTCATGTAAATTAACAAACATAAAATCTTATCCATATTCGTTCATTTAATAAATAAACGAACATAAACAAATTTCCTCTCAAACAATTCATTGAACATTCAGTTCGTTTACAAGCATAATAATTTTTTTAATCACTAAGTAACTTGGTTATGCTATTATTTTTATTTTTTTATATATATAAATAATTTGAAAAAATATTCCAATGATTATTGAAAAATAAAAGCTTAATATACTTTTAGGTGCCTAAACTATATCTTAAATTAATTTTTAGTGTCTAAATAATTTTTCATTAAAAATAGATGTCTAATATTTTTTTTTGTCACACTTTTAGGTGTCTACCGTTAAAGAAATCATTAAATGACACGTGTCACATTTATATTTTTTTCTAAACTATTTAAATAATATTTTATTTTTAAAAAATCAAAAAATATAAACTTGACATATGTCACTTAACTGTTTTTTTAACGGTAGACACATTTCATAAAAAAAACGATAGACACCTAAAAGTGTAACGAAAAAAACATTAGTCACCTATTTAAACAAAAAATACTTTAGACATCAAAGTCAATTTAAGGTATAGTTTAGGCAAAAATAAATTGAGTTAATTGCATCATATGTCCTTAAATTAAAACTCTCATTTCATATTAGTCTTTAAACTTTTAAATACTTCAATTTCATCCTTAAACTATGACTCTCATTCTAAATTAGTCCTTAGACTTTTAAACATTTGAATTTCATCCCCAAACTATGAATCTCATTATAAATTGGTCCCTAAACTTTTAGATCTTTCAATTTCATCCCCAAATTCATTCAAATGTGTAATCCATTTCAACCATAGTTTAACCTAAATTTTATTTTTTTCAAGCATATAATAATATAACTTGCCTAATGATTTTACAAGAGACATGATTAGTATATACGAAGAATTTAGGATAAAATTGAAATATTCAAAATTCTTGAGGACCAATTTAGGATGAAGATCATAGCTTGGGGGTGAAATGAAATGTTCAAAAGTTTGAGGATTAATTTAGAATAATAGTCATAGTTTAAGGATGAAATTGAAATGTTTGAAAGTTCAGAGACTGATTTGAAATGAGAGTCATAGATTGGGGACATATGAAGCAATTAACTTAAATAAATTGTTAACAAATTTTCTAAAAAACCAGACCCGGTCTGATTCTAAACTTAAACAAGAACCTTTAAAAGAGACCGGGCCGTATCAGGTCCGGCTGGAAACACCTTTACTCATCAATAGCTATCAATTTATTTATTAATTATTAGTTTTTCAATTCCAAATTTCACTGAGCTAAACGAACACAATCTACAAATCCATGAACACGAAATCACTGCAAAAAAAATTAGTGAAAATTCCGTTGCAGAATTTGTTAATATTCATGTAGAACAATTGATTTATTTTTTTATTTTTTTTAATAATTTTGTTTTGCAGTGTGAAATGGTACTGAGCAATCTGACGTTGTCCCCAACGATTCCTCCATCTTCTTCTTTGTTCTTCTTCATTAGAAGCTCTACTGTCTGTGAAATTTCAGGCTTTGAATCCCTAATCACCAACGGCTGCTGCTTCCGTTTCCACACCGCGAGGAGCCGCTGGAAATGCGGCGCTATCGACACTCGCGGCGGAGGCGTCGTCGGCATTGTCGAGAACAACGCGCCGGTTTCGTCTTCTGCTTCGCGAGGAGAAACCGTAGCGGGAAACGCGGTTGTTGATATTCCGGTTAGTTGTTACCAGCTGATCGGCGTTTCGAGCCAGGCTGAGAAAGACGAGATTGTGAAGTCGGTGATGAATTTGAAGAGTGCTGAGGTTGATGATGGTTACACTAGTGATGTTGTCGTTTCTCGTCAGGTGAAATGATCGAAGAGGTCGTTTTTTTTTGTGTATTTGTTTTTCGGAATTCCTTTTTTTGATACTTTCCTTCTTTTTGATTCTCCTTTGCAGGAAGTTCTGATGGATGTGAGGGATAAACTACTTTTCGAAACGGAATACGCCGGAAATTTGAAAGAGAAGATTCCGCCTAAATCATCTCTTCGAATTCCATGGCGTTGGTTGCCTGCTGCTGTTTGCCTTCTTCAAGAGGTGCAATTCCGCACTGTTTATCCTTTTTTTGTAGTTTATTGTGTGCTTTTGCTTTAAAGTTTTGAGGAAGCATTGCAACAGGTAAATGAAACCCGGGATTTCTTCAGACTTGTTAATAAGTAAATCGTACGTGGTAGAACATGAGCAAATGGCTAAAAGAGTATAACAGATAGTCAAACACAATTGTTGCATATCAAATTAAGTTTGTCCGAAAACCTTTTCTGCCTTGGATCCAAATTTTCATTTTTATGCATTTATTTATATGCTTTTGGAAGCAAACAGTAAGTAGAGAAAGCATCCACCAAAGAAAGCCTAAAAAAATGAAGTATTTTTTTGGCTTGGAAAGCTAGAACTGATATGGTATGGATTCCTTGTGAATCAGGTTGGAGAAGAGGAACTTGTCCTTCAAATTGGGAGGGCAGCTATTCTGCGTCCAGATGCTAAGCCATATATTCATGATTTACTTTTATCAATGGCACTTGCTGAGGTGAGACAAATAGGTGAAGAGCTTAGCTTCTTTTACCAGCTTTAACATCAACTTTTCTATGCCCACTTTTCTTATAATAGGTGCTTTCTTGAAGTGTTCAATTGCAAAGATAGGTTTCGAAAAGAAAAAGGTCTCTGAAGGATTTGAAGCTCTTGCTCGTGCTCAGTCTCTTCTCAGGAGTACAAAGTCTCTTAAACAGATGGCGTTGTTATCTCAGGTAATTTTTGTTGCTATTTTATGCTTTTGCCTCCATATTATTCAAGCTTTGCTTTAGTCAGTAATAGGCACTTTCATCGTAACTTGAATAATAATAGCATCCTGTTCATTACCTAAAAAAAGGGTAAAGAGAATCAAAACAATGCAAAACTTCTTATGAATTGATCTGATGGTTAAGAACTTAATATATTCTGCCTGCTGATGACTGCAACAATGTCGGAGGATAGGTTTCACATGTAGACAAGAAATTATGAGCTACCCTTGTTTCTCAAGGTTTGGTCACAGCCTTCTATTTACATTAATTATTTGTCATGGTTCTTAGATAGAAGAATCTTTGGAGGAACTTGCACCTGCATGCGCATTGGAGTTATTAGGCTTGCCTCGATCACCTGAAAATGCTGACAGGCGACGCGGAGCGATTGCAGCCCTGCGTGAACTGGTCAGACAGGGGCTTGATGTGGAAGCATCTTGCCAGGTCCAAGATTGGTCATGCTTCTTGAGCCAAGCTCTTAATCGGCTGTTGGCCTCAGAAGTAGTTGATATTCTTCCCTGGGATAATTTAGCAATGGCAAGGAAGAATAAGAAATCAATTGAATCACAGAATCAAAGGGTTGTAATTGATTTTACCTGTTTCTACGTGGCATTGGTTGCTCATATTGCTCTTGGATTTTCAAGCAAGCAAACTGACTTGGTAATCTCTCTATTCCGCTTGCTCTGTGAATAATACGCTGGGTGGGAGACTGTTTTCCATAATTTATCTGTTATTAATTTCACTTTTTTAATATATTTATGTAGATTATCAAAGCAAAAACTATATGCGAGTGTTTGACAACATCAGAGGATGCTGATCTAAAGCTTGAGGAGGCTTTCTGTTTGTTCATTCTTGGACAGGTATAGATTTATATCCTTTTACCTAGTGTTGCATTTAAATATCGTAGAAATTGAAGGTTTTGTTTCTTTGGAAGCTGGAGCTTTTTTTTTTCATCGAAATGCTTTAATAACTCGTATGTTGGTTATTAGGGAAGTGAGGTTGAGGTTATTGAAAAGCTTAAAAAGCTTGAATCAACTTCAAATCGTGCACCCCAAAATTCTATTACAGGAAAGGAGATGCTAGGCAGTTCTAAGACAAAATCATCATTGGTAAGTCTTAACCTGTCTTCTGCTTTGAAATATGCATCTAAGATTGCAATGAGCGGAAATTAAACAGTTAGGAGATCAAATATGTTTGATTTTCTCTTTTGACTGTGGATTGTATATTGTGATTTTATGTTTGCTTAAGAACTTTAGGAGAATAAGGGGCCTGTGCGTTATTTCAGGTAACAGATGTCACATATGATGGAGTAATGACTTGTATAAAGACTACTAGAGGGGTGATGGAGCATTGCTCAATAGCAATAGTTTAAACCATGGGTCAAATTTGAGCCCTTATCTTTTGGCCTTGGTGATTTTTGAATTTATTAGGTAGAGTCAAGATGCTATACTTTGGTGTATGCTTTTGCGGATAATATCAATCTGGTGGATCAAATGAGATGCTTGAGTTATGGAGGAAAACATAAAATCAAAAGTCTTCAGTAAGCCTAAAACAAAGTGTATGATATGAAAACTCTGTAAAGTCCTGGTAACGAAGCAAACGTAAAATTGAAGAAAAATATATACTGCAAAGTGATTTGTTTTAGTATCTTGGCTCAATCATCCGAAAATAGGATCCTAGCATGATTGGTGAAATTGAGAAAATTTACTTGGGTCTTGACATGTGTGACAGCAATTCAGCAAATACCCCTTTAGCTTATGGCATGCTTCTGCATGATAGCAATAACACCATGATTGCTTAATGCTATTGGATTTTGGGTGGTCAAGCAAAGATGAAAGTTTTTAATACGAGGATGCTGCATAGATATAGGGTTAGGAATTCACACAAGCATCCAGGAAAATATGGAAATAGTAGTAAGCATCACATGAGACATATATATGGTGGTTTGGCTATGTGTTGACAGTGGTACATAAATGCTTCTATTGGAGTTTTTGTTTCTCGGACACTTAATTTTTGTTGAAGTACTTGTGCCCTGCACATTCCTTAAGTAACATTGGTTAGAGTATATGATTTAGTAGAATGTTCTTTCCAGGAGGAAGGATACACCAAGGAATAGAAAACTTACCATTTTCTACATTGTGATATTACTCTAACCTAGGGTTCTTAATAGAAAACAGTGTTCTTTGTACCTGAGATCATCAGGTAGAACAATGTTGTCAAGGCACATGCCTAGGTGCTTAAGAGCAGTGCGAATCAAGCAAACCTCCTACATCCTTCAGGCAAGGCACGGTTAGTAAGATGGATTCTTTTTGTGCGTAGGGACATTTTTCCCTAGGCTAAAGGCACAGAAAAAAATGTGCAAGGGACATTTCTGGTCTATTTTCGGGAATAAAAAGATTAATGTTTTAACTGTTGTACAACTTGTTGAAGGTTCAATGGAAATGCATGAAACTTGGAATTTTGTTTAATGACATTTATTATGATAATTTGTCTTTGGAACACATTAGGTATTGCCACAGTGCAAACTCTAAAAGCTTTTTAACAAAATTATATATTTTAAGCTTATTAGAGATAATAATACATAGATTTTTCTTTCATGTTATTAATTTTCTTTTAGAAATTAGCGCCTCCACTCAAGTAAACGTCTCTTTTGCACCTGCGGTGATGCAAGTGCTTAGAGCACGCAATGCTTTGACACACTAAGGTATATAGCTTGATTTTTGTGTTCGTAGGGAGCATGAACTTAAGCCTGTTAAACGGGTACAAATTCAAGCCATGGATCATGTTAATTCATGTTCTCTTTTATTGCTTCTTTCCTTATTTTATGTTTTCAAGACTTGTAATTTAGAAAGGTTGTGCACTTGATAATAGTCGTGGTTGGGTTGCTAGTTGAACTGTGTCCACCTCCACATATCCTCTTCAAATTCTTTGAATTTCTTGTTTATCTTCAAGATTGATGCCTTCTCTGATAACAAACTGCCTGCTGACTTAAGCAGGAAATTTGGCTGAAGGATGCTGTGCTTTCTCTCTTTCCTGATACAAGGGATTGTTCTCCTTCTTTGGTAAGAACAAAATGACTGAGCTATCGGTTTAACCGGGAAGTACTAACATTTGTACTTGTCTGCAGGCCAACTATTTTGGTGGTGAAAGAAAAGCTCTTAGGAGCAAGAAAAGTAATGGTGCCCCTCAAACCATCGCTAATGTAGGCCATAGATCACTAGCTACTGCTCTTGCATCTGAGAGGAAAGATTTTGAGGATTCCCTTCCCCGTATGAAATCTTCTCTACATATTGTATCAACTGTTAAGCAATCACCACCCACTGATTTGCAAAGCCCTTTTGTAACGGGTGAAAATAGCAGCGGGAACAATGTCAATGATTCAGTTCAGTTGGAAAGAAAATTCGTGGGAAAGCAGAATAAAGCTTGGGAAAGTTGGTTTTCCCAGAGTAACGTCACTGAAAGGGTAACTTTTGTTGCCGTATTGGGTTGCATTATTTTAACTGGCTTTAAGGTTTCAGGAATGAAACTGAGTGGGGTCGGGAGTATGCCAATATGGGCCTCAGTTAAACCACATATGAGTACAAGTTCCCTTAACCGTAAAGGAGATTCTTTCTTGGACCACAACTCTGCTCATATCAAGGCAAGTGGTATTGGTGGTAGGATAAAGGAACTCCTGGAATTGGCTAAGGTTCAATTCATAAACCCTTCAGAAGCTATGAATTCAAAAGCTTCCCGCCTTCCTGCTAGCCTGTCAACTTCGATCACAGCAGTGGAGAGGAAGCAAATGTTTGTACAAGAAGCTGAAGCTCTTGTCAGGCATTGGCAAGCAATTAAGGCTGAAGCTCTGGGACCTAACCATCAGGTTGACTCCCTTTCTGAAGCCCTTGATGAGTCAATGTTAATTCAGGTAAAACCTATTGAACGGTCTCTTTTGATTTTATGCTTTTGTTATGTTAACAGTAAGATAATACATGAACCTTCACTCGTCTCCTTGCCTAATCACCATAACCCCAAAAGGGAGGAGCTTGACCGTTCGAATAAATTTAATGGATGTAGTACAAACATATACTTTTAGACTTTTAGTTCTTAATGGAAAAAGACTATCTTAAATCGTAATCAGGATTCAACCATTTCTGAGATTTTTTAAAATTTCAAAACTAAACCTTTGCTAGGTACTAACACTGAATTCACGATGTGGGAAAATTTTGGCATGTTTATTTCAAGATTTCTATTCCTGGAGGTGGAAGTAGCACTTCATGGCTAAAACCTTCGGTTTGGTTTTTCATTCTTTATGACATAATTGTGGTCTGCAGTGGCAAGCGTTGGCTGATACGGCGAAAGCTAAATGTTGTTATTGGAGATTTGTTTTGCTGAAATTGACCATTCTTCGAGCGGACATTCAAATGGATGTAAACATGGGGGAGATGGCCGAAATCGAGGCTCTCCTTGAGGAAGCAGCAGAGCTTGTTGATGAGTCTCAGCTAAAGAATCCTAATTATTACAGGTCAGCAAATACAATATAGGCTTAGTGTTATTTTTGGAGCATCTAGAACTCGGAAGCTGTTTAATCAAAACACATGGACTAAATTGTACTTCCTTCTCGACTGATTGCTGCAGCACATATAAAATTCGATATATTCTTCGGAGGCAAGATGACGGATCATGGAAATTCTGTGGAGGCGACATCGGAATGCCATCATGAGACGAAACATCATTCATAACAAGCCACGGTGAGTAGACTGCTAATCTTTTCATAACGGTTGTGTGTTTCTGTAGTAGCAAACACCAACTTAAGCTCGGTTTCGAGTTCATTCTTAGGAGGATTAGGATTTCATCTAGACCTAACATTTCGTGTTTCTTTTCGTTTTCGTGTCATTATCACGTTTATCGAATCATACACTGTATTTTTTTCGACATGTTAATAAATTTTCTGTTCATATGCCAATCTCAAGACCAATCTAAACAGCTCCACTACTTTTGCTTGAGTTTTTCATTGATGTATAAACCAATCTAAATTGCTTGCTTTGATGCATGATAATGCATTTTGGAGCCATTGTCAAACATGTCATATTCAGAGTTAATTCATACAGAGTCTCTGAATCATTCAGCGTTTAATCATTCTGAAGTAAACAAACAGTCCCTTAATTAAAAAAATAGTGAGAATGATATTTTTATAATTGCTTTTAAATATATAAAGGTTAATTATATTTATTTTTGGGTTTGATCAGAGTAGATAATTCTTACTTTAAATATGAACTCAACCTGACTTTATCCTTAAAAAAAATTGAACTCGAGTTTTCATATAACTTTATAAGATTAAGTTAGAACTTATCGTATCCGAATCTCATGCTTATTTCTAATTAGAATATATTGTAATTTAAATAATTCATTTATATTTTGTTTATAAAAGTATAATTCAAATATTTAATTTTATTTAAAGAATTTATGTCTCGTCCGACTATATATATTTGAAAGGGGTAGTTTTATATGTTATTATTCTAAGGAAAACATATAAGATAAAACCGAAAATCTGGTCTCATTAAAAAATTTCCATACACCTATTAGAGGAAAAAGAGTGCATCATACTCGTCGATAACACGAACCAACTATTCATCACTAGCAAGAGCATTATCGCTCTTAGCAAGAGGATACGAAATGTTCTTCTAAATCCACGAAACCTTATTCCTTGGGTTGGGATAGGGAGCAAAGCCTGCTCATCGGAATCTTGCTTGGCTACAATCACTGACCTCTATTATCAAAATTTATAAAATGATCTTCTAATTATAGAGTATTGCTTCGTTGAGTCCATCGACTATCAAAAATTACAAAATAATCACCGATTATTTACAATGTTCCAAACTGATCATTTTTCATTAAAAAATTGGTTTGTACCCTATCGACAAAAGCAAGACTCTATAGTTGAAGGATCATTTTATAACTTTTAATATAATTTTACATTATATATATATATATATATTTGGCACTACTAATTTATTCCAAAGCTGGTAAAAAAGTAAGAGAATAATATAGTTGGGATTGAATATAACATTATAGGATCTTATGCCGAATTATCTTTTCCAGATTCGCCATTGATGCTCATGCTTAAGGTCCCATAAGAGCTAAAGCTAGATGCATTGAAGATATGGTCGGTACTTTATCGGTCAAAAACATGTTATCAGTCCTGATATTTCGGTAAAATTTGTGATTCGATCCCTACTTTCTTCGATTTTAACATCTTAATCCGATCGTGGTTTGGATTCTGGTAATGGGTTTAGTGTTTAGAAGTTTGATAATCAGGGACCGCTTTAGAGAGGACCTCCCAAAATTTACGGTCTAATAATACTTTAGGTCCCTATTAGTTTTAACTTTGAGTTAAATTAGATTTTGATACCCTTTAATTTTTAAATTTAACACTAAATGAACTTTTGAAATTAAATTATATTATTCTAATATATGATCTTAATCGGTGATGCTTAAGGAACAATGTAACTTTTAGTCTTTAAATTTGACAATTTTTTAATTTAATATCTAAATTTTAAAAAAATTAGTCCGTCCTTCAGATAATGCAGCACACCATCAAAGTATCACATATTGTGAAGTTCAAAAACTGATATGGATCAAAATAAAGCTCAAGGACTAATATGAACCTAAATATTAATTTTTAATATTATTTAACCAATAAACCTTTAAAAATATTACTATTTAACCAATTAAAAATAAACCACATTATCAACACCCGGTTAGTGACCCAAAAATATTGATGATTGCGACAAGATTAATTTTTAGGGTAAATTACGTGTTTAGTATTTAAATTATCAATTTTGATCCGTTTCAGTACTTAAACTTTTAATTTTTTAAAACATACTTAATGTTTAATTTTTATTTTATTCCAGTATCCTACTATTAAAAACTTAATGTGTTTAACACCTAAACTATTAGTTTTGGTCCGTTATCTAAATTTTTAATTTTTTTCAAAATTAAAGTTAAATTTTGAACGATGTACTAAAATAAAACAAAAACTAAACTTTAGATATGATTATAAAAATTAAATATTTAGGTACTAAAACAGACCAACATCGATAGTTTAGGTACTAAATGTATAATTTATCCTAATTAGGGGACCAAAATAGAACAACTCAATAATTGGATGACTAACCGTGCAGTTTTCCCACACTATTTTTCTTAGAAAATAAAATAACCTTATCATAGGAAATTAACCATCCCAAAGTTGATATATTTATTCATTTCACCTCATTGATGCTACAAGTGAAATAGACCAGAAATCACTAATAACTTGGGGTTCATCTTAATCCCAGATCACAAGGGCCTTGAAAGCACACCATTTTCATCTCTGTCACACATCAAGAAGATGCAGCAGCAGCCTCCTGCAGCTGTTTCACCTTGGTGATGTAGTCGTTCATCGCGTCGTCCGGTGACTTCCCTGTTGGAAACACGGATGCCGATTCAAAAACATACTCGATTCATAGTTCATACATTGCTAAACACTTTTCAAAGCAAACCAAATAATGATCTATATCGATTCAAACATAGCTGCATACCTTCAACAGCCTTCCATGCATCCCACTTGGCCTTTTCCTTCAGGTTGAACATTCCGGGACGACCTTCGAATACGGGAAATTATACCCTTTAGTCCCTTTATTACACGGAGACTAACAAAAAAGGTCAAATATGAGTTATAAGTGTGTGAATATATATATGTATACTAACTGGTATTCACTGGTCCAACAGTAGCCTGCTTGTAGAGTCCATAGAGAATGAGCTTGTCGTCATTCGTAGTGCTCGTCGGGAGGGTCTTAGCTTTCTCGGTATACTCCTCGAATTCCTCCTATACAGTCAGGAACCAAGGTACAACATTATCATACTAAAACATCATCATATACTCAAACTGAACTCGACTCGATTTAAACATAAACAATCAAGATCTGATCTCGAAAGCTTTTTCGGCATACTCATCTAATTCCTCCTATACAGTCCAGAACCAAGGTACAACATTATCATGCTAAACATCATCATACTCAAACCGAACTCGATTCGATTTAAACATAAACAATCAAGATCTGAACTCGAAATAACTCGATAAAATTAAAACTCGAATTGACAGACTCAAACTTATCATATCCATTCAATAGAGAAGTCTAAAACACAGTACTTGTAGTCAGGGGTGAATCCAGGGGCTGCCTGCAGCTTACCCCCTTGCAAAAATTGGATAAATTGCTTATTTGGTCCCTTTAGGAAACAAAGCATTCAATTGAGTCTTTTGATTAAAAGATTCAGTGGAATCAGTTGAATACAAAGCCTAAAATTTCCAGATATTGGTGTAATCACCTTCAGATCATCTTTTTATAAAATTGATTTACATTTGCTTGAAGAAGAATCAAAAGAACGATGAGGGGAAACAAATAATCAGACGGACGAATCATAAGAACGATCAACGGGAGCAACTAATCGGCGAGAAACAAGAGAAAAAAAGCCAGAAAATTGAATAATAAATTAGATTACGGATTGAATTGAAAGGAAAGGAAATTATACCTTCAAACCCATTTTTGTTCTTCAAACAAATTTCTTGAGTTTTGCTTTGTGATTTCCTTTCTTCAACCTCGAGACTACCGTTTACTTATAAGCACAGCCGAGCAACTTGACAGGTGGTAGCTTTTCTTATCTTACACGAATATCAAAACTAAAAGACAAATTTTAATGGTTGAAGAGGGTATTTTTTTATTGGGTAAAGTTATAAAATGGTCCCTTATTATAGGATATTGTTTTTAAGTCACCCAATTATTAATAGTTACAAAATGGTTACCCAATTGTATTTTAAACTTGTCATTTTTAGTTAAAAAATTGATGGTAGTTTGAGTTGGACGTTAACATTCTAATTGAAATATGACAATCATTTGAGATTATCGGTTCATATTATATCATATCTCATTTAATAGGTTAAAGTCTAACTCAAATTGTCATCAATTTTAATGGAAAATTACGAGTTTAAAACACAATGAATAATCGGATGATCATTTTGTATCTTAATAGTCAATGGACTTAAAAAAGCAACATCTTATAATCGAGGACCATTTTATAACTTTTAATAGTTGAAGGACTCAATAAAATAACACTATATAGTCGGGGGACTATTTTATGTATTCTACCCTTTTTTATTTTTTAATGATATTTTTTATATATGTTTTCGGTTATTTGAATGTTGTTTTTATTTTATTTTTAAGAGTTAATTTGATATTATCACGACTAATCAAGATGTCGTTATTTATTATTTCGTTGATTTTCTCTATTGTGGACGCTCAAATTAGGTTTGGATATTTAATTTATGTTCGGGTATGACTTTTCATGTTGCTCAAGTTTAATTTATAGTTTATCGGTGAGCTTTCAGTAATTTGATCAATTTTATGTATAATTTTAAAAAATAATAATTAATTAACCAAATCGAACAAAAACAATAATTAGATAATTAAATACATAGATTATATGATGGTTATTGAAAAGTTGTTGATAATACTTAGAATATTACATTAATAATCGATATGTTCGATGAGCATCTTCTTGTTGTGCGAATGACTCGACATGTGTGCCATAAAAATATATTAAATTACATATAAATGATTTTTTATAATAAATTTATAAATGCTTAATTTATGTTATGGGTAGAGGACAGAAACAGTTCTTTTATTATAGATTTTTATTTTGTTGAGTTACGGATAGGGATAAGCATGCGACTCGAACTCGACGGGTTTCGACCTAATTGAGTTAGGTTTTTTTTTTTTAAAAAAATTTAGTTCAGGTCGGGTCGGGTCGGGTTCGAGTTTAGGGTGAAAAATACCCGACTCGACCTGAAAAATATATAATTTTACCTTATATATTTAGGAATAATTATAATAATACCTCTCTATATATATTATTTTTTTCAATTAAGTCACTATTTTTATTGAATAAAAATAATATATTTTTATTATTTCAGGTCGGGTTTTTAAGTTATATATTGGGTCGGGTGAAATCTTATTTTGGTCGGGTCAGGTCGTATCTCGGGTGTAGGATTCCTTGTTCTCGGGCCAGGTAGGATGGACCAAAAACCCGACCCATGCCCATCCCTAGTTACTGAGTATTAAAAGTTATAAAATTATTTTTGATTATAGGATATTATTTTATTGAGTCTTTTGACTATTAAAAGTTACAAAATGATCATCCGACTATTCATATGTTCTAAACTCGTCATTTTCTGTTAAAAAATTGAGTCGCATGAATCGGAAGTTAGCATGATGATTAAGATACAATAGTCTTCTGAGATTCTGGGATCAGATTTTATCATATCACAGTCAACCTGTTAACATCCAGTTTAAACTACATTAATTTTTTAATAAAAAAGACGAGTTTAGAATATATGAATAATCGGACGATCATTTTGAAATTTTTAATAGTGAGTGGACTCAACAAAGTAATTCCCTATAATTAGAAAATTATTTTGTAACTTTTAATTATCGGGAAACTCAACAAAACATTACCCTATAATCAGATGATCATTTGTGTATCAGTGTATTTTATCCTGGTATTGTATCGTTTGTAGCTTCAACAAAGCACATGCCATGAGAACCAAGAGCAACCGTAACTTTTTATTCAAGAAAAGGGCAATTACAAAACCAGACAATGGAACTAAAATGAACATATTAGAATTGAATAAAAAGAGGCGGAGTCAGGGGGTTCAATGATGCATTTCCGAGCGAAGCTCCGTGTTCGATCGAGATCCGGGCACCATCGAGGTCGGTTGTTTGATGACTGCAGCCAAAATATCGGTATAACCCACCACCCCAACAAGAACATCGACATCATCATCTTCACCTTCGGTCACCCAAACATGGGTTGCCCTATGAGACAGGATTTGAGCCATGACTGCAGCCAACGAACTTGTCGTTTTACACGTCAAGGGTGCACTTCTGCCCCTATACGTGCTCCGGCCGACTCCGAAACTCGGTCCTGATGGATTGAACCCGCAGTTTGTACTAACGTGTTTCCTTGGCTTTGAAGTATCACAAATGTCGTTGAGCCATCTCGAACTCACGTTATCCTCGATCCCCATTACGAATTGTCCGGCCGAGAGGTTGGCTAAAGCCCATGCTGCAGCTAAATAATCACATTTCCATAGTTTAGAGACTGAGATCTCTCCTAAGATTCTGTGGTGACCTTCTGGCGTGCTCTCCATTATGGCGAATGCGCTCGGATCACCGGGATGTTTTTGCATAGCTTCGGAAGCCGGGAGGGAGGCATCGATAGAGCAATAGTTTTGGTTAATAGCTCCGAGCGAGGAAATAGATGCCAGGGGGAGTGGAGCTAAAGCACCAAGGCAACCGAGGAGGAAACGGATTATGTCTTCTCTCGACAGACAGCAAAAGCGGTTGTTGCACATGTAGGCAGAGGTCGACGAAGCGGAAGAGGACAACGACGATGGCGAAGGACAACCGGTATTAAGACCGAGGTTATTGCAGCTACCCTCCATGTTCTTGAGCCACTTCCCGTGATAAATGATCGAGAATCTCTTGCTCATTCCTTTCCATACCGCGCTCTTCGGAACAAGAAGTCGCCTCACACCTTGCTTCATCATCTCCAGTGCATCTATCAGTCTATTTCAACAACAAATTGGCAATGCCATCAGAGAGATCAAAATTTCTACTCAAACAAGCAGTAAACAGAACCAATTCAATCAGCTACCAAAATAGTCCTAAGCAAGGTTCATCGACTCTACATCATACTTCGGGAAAAAGAACGAGATCGATATCGATTACCAAACATAAATTTAGTTCAACAACAACGAATTACCAATGGCTTCAGAGAGCAACAATTCTACAGATACCAAAATAGTCCTAAACAAGATTCATCAACTCCGTACCATACTTCAAGAGGAAGAACGAGATCGATATCAAACATAAATTTAGTTCAACAACAGCGAATTAGCAATTCCATCATAGAGAGCAACAATTTTACTTAGACAGGCAGTAAACAGAACCCTTTCAATCAGCTACCTAAATAGTCCCAAACAAGATTCATCGACTCCGTACCATACTTCGAAAGAAAGAGATCGATATCGAATTCAATAACAACGAATTAGCAATGCCATCATAGAGAGAAACAATTCTACTTAAATGGGCAGTAAACAAAACCATTTTAATCAGCTACCAATAGTCGTAAACAAGATTCATTGATCCCGTACCATACTTCGAGAGGAAGAACGAGATCTATATCGTATTCAACAACAACGAATTAGCAATGCCATCTTAGAGAGCAACGATTCTACTTAAACAAGCAGTAAACAGAACCATTTCATTCAGCTACCAAAATAGTCCTAAACAAGATTCATCGACACTACATCATACTTTGAGAGGAAGAACGGAGATCGATATCGAACGTAAATTTAGTTCAACAACAACGAAATAACAATTCCATCATAGAGAGCAACAATTTTACTTAGCCAGGCAGTAAGCAGAACCCTTTCAATCAGCTACAAAACAGTCCTAAACAAGATTCATCGACTCCGTACCATATTTCAAGAGGAAGAACGAGATCGATATTGAATTCAACAACAATGAATTAGCAATGCCATCATAGAGAAACAATTCTACTTAAATGGGCAGCAAACAAAACCATTTCAATCAGCTACCAATAGTCCTAAACAAGATTCATCGACCCCGTACCATACCTCGAGAGGAAGAACGAGATCAATTTATAACTCAACAACGAATTAGCAATCCCATCATAGAGAACAACAATTCTAATTAAACAGGCAGTAAACAAAACCATTTCTATCAGCTATCAAAATAGTCCTAAAGAAGATTCATAGACTCTACATTACACTTCGAGGGGAAGAACGAGGTCAATATCGAACACAAATTTCAACCTGGAGCAGAATAATCAAATCTCTATGATCATTCAGCAAGTATACAGCTAGAACAAATGCAGTTCAACCAAACTGAAGCCACATTTTTCAAATGAGCAAACCTGGTGCCAGGATCAACAATCTTTAAGAGACCATTGTTTGGGACAACAACATCAGAAACTAGTGTTTTGATAGCTTTGACATGATCATCCAAGCACTGAGATTTGGCTAAAAATGAGACGACATCGAGTGATGTTAGAATCCCAACAAATCTCTGTTGTCTCATCTCATTGTTTTCAACCATTCCCGGATGTGTTCTTCTCTTCCAAACTGGTATCCCACACTCTGTTGATTCTCTTATTGCTCTTACGGCGGACTCCAACGTCTCCGTTTCGGTGAATTCTTCCAGTTCCGGCTTTCCGACCGTCAAATCCCCCACCACATGGTACAAGAACACCGATGCCATTCCTTCAAAGTTTATGTTTGTTTCCCGAGAAACCTGGAAAAAAAACCAAAAGAAACTAGTTTCGATAAAGGGTCACTTTAATTTTCAATTACCTCAACTGGGTTTTGGTTTATTCCATCCAAAATTGATTTTTCCTTCAAAAACATCTTGGGGTTTCTATAAAACTTATGAAAATTCAATAAACAACTTGAATGAACACCAAGAATTGTTCTTAATTCACTTGTGAAATGAAGGGAAAAACTTGGGGTTTTTTTTCCTTCTAGAAACCGAGAAAACCGGTGAGGATGAAGAGATACAAGAGGGATTGAAACGAAGTTATTGAAAGTAAAAGCCATTGCGGTGATCTCTCGGAAAATTCTTGACTGAATCGGTGTCGGAAAAAGCATGAATTTTGGAGGGAAAGGAGAAATGTTCTTCTTCTTTATGGATTAATTGGTGTTTTTGCGGATTTAATTGGTTTGAAGGGTAAAATACACAAATGATCCTTCTTTTATCGAGTTTTATGATTATTAAAAGTTATAAATTGGTCCCTCAACTATATGTTGTTATTTTGTTGTCTCTAATATGTTAAAAGTTATAAAATGATCATCTGACTATTTATATGCTCTAAACTCGTCATTTTCCGTTAAAAGTTTGACGATCATTTGAGCTGGAAGCTAACATATTAACTGAGATATGATAAAAATCTAACCCTAAAACAGTTTTGATTATATTTTATAGATCACTCTCTGTTTATATTATGTCGTTGAACACACACTTAAAATATTTTTTCATCGAACTAGTGCTTGAAAGCAATGACAATACCAATATACATCATTAAAATATAATTTTATTATATATCAATTAGCAAGTTAACATCCAACTCAGACGACAGTCAATTTTTAACGAAAAAGTACGAGTTTGGAATATATGAATAATCAGATGATCAGTTTGTAACTTCTAATAGTCAAAGAACTCAACAAAAGAATGTCTTATAGTTAATGAATCATTTTATAAATTTTAATAATTAAAAGACTCAATAAGACAACACCCTATAATCAAAGATCATTTGTGTCCTTTATCCGTTTAAATTGAGAAAGGAGATCAAAATTTTGGTGAATTACGACGGGGCTTAGAATTGTTCCGCCTCCTAAATATATGGATAAATTATGGTAGAAGTCATTCTATTATGAGTATATTCATAATTGGGTCATCATATTACAAAAAGTCACTGGTCACTCTATTTATTGATTTTTAACAATCAGATTACTTTTTCGTTAAATCAGTAATGGGAGTTAATATTTTAATTCTGTTTGAATAAAAAAAATATAAACTTACTCATAATTGAGTGATTAAAATATAACTAAAAAAGTTAAAGTGACATGATCATTATAATCTATAAATACAGTGATCTGATTATGACTTTTAAAAACACGATGACTTAATTATAAACTAATTAATAGTAAAATGACTTTTCATGTAATGTATCCCTAATTATCATCCCATATTAACAAAATAATTATCAATATCAGTTAATAATAATATGACACATAACATATGATATCATCAATAATATAAATAAGATAAAATTAATGTTTTGAAGTGAAAAGTTACGAAAAAAAATTATACCTAACGACGGGTTTTGGTAGTACAAATTGAGGGATTAATTATTAGTTTTTCAAAATTTTGGAGGATCATAGTCTCTCTGACGAAAAATTATTAAATGAAGTCGGCTCTTCACGTCATCTGTGGTCCCAACCAATGGCATTTTTTTATCTAATTTTTTTTTAAGGTGAATCTTCACCTCTTTTCTACGTGTAAATAAGGAGTGGGCAATTGTTTCGAAGTTATTTTAAAATTAATGGATCTAATTCACTAGGATCATGAATGACGTGGTGAGCCGAGTCCATAAAATAATTTCTCCTCTCAGACCCTATTTAGATATGTAATTGATTATACGTGACAATTACATCATATTAACTTATATATCCATTTGTACATGTTATATGATCGATCTTATGGGATAAAAGATGCATTAAGTTGGAAGCTGAATTTGGAAAACAAATGGGGTAAACTATGAGTTTAGTACCTAAACTATCAGTTTTTGTCTGATTTAGTACTTAATTTTTTTTATAAAAAAACTATACCTAATGTTAAAACTTAACGAGCGGACTAACGTGGCATAGCTTCGACGGACGAACGATCAGTCCGAACGATTGACCACAAGAGAATAATGAGTTGACCAGCATAGTCCAATTTTAGGCCCATCGGACGGTGGAACATGAAGATCGGAAGATGAAGAAATCAAAGAGTTAATCGTCGATTTGGGGAGATTGATACGTTTCTCGGTGAAACGGAGGTCAAAATCACGTTCAGGGGACGAAAAGATGTGGGCTAGAAATGGGCTTCATCGACAAATGGATGCGAGGGCCAACGACTATAGATGTAGCGATCGACAAGTCCGTCCGTTAAAAACTAAAGTTAGCCTTGATTTTGAAAAAAAAAAAAGAAAAGTTTAGATACTAAAACTGATAACTTAAGTATTAAACGTATATTTACCCAAATAAATGGTTTGAAAGGTTCAACATTGACATAAAATGAATAGGATGTATGTTTGACCATCCTTTTCTAAAGAATGTCCACTCAATTCTCCCTCTTTTTCTCCGACAACTTTGAGGACAAAAAACCTAAAATATTTTTGTTTGCCATTTTTTTGGTTTTTTGGTTTTATAATTTGGTCATTTCCAAAACCATGGCTTCTCATGATCTTTTGTTCTTGTCCTTGGTTGCAATCCCCCCGGCTCCCAAGAGGGGCCCTTCAATCTCTTGAAGGCTTCCTCTCCCCCACACCCACGATTGATGTCTCCGGTCGGTTCGATCCGATCCGATCTTTTTCTCTCGTAACGAGCCGAGATTAACTCGACATCATTCTCTCGGTGTTCCGAACTTTGTAATCTCTTTGCTCTTTCAGGTTCGGGGCCGTTTCCGATCGACATTCCGATAAAACAAATAAAATGAATTGCTTCCCTTGTTTCTCCTCGCAAAAGAAGGAGGGAGGCAGTAAAAAGGACCACGATGTTTCCCACGTTGAACAACTGCAACTTCAACAACAATCCGTACTAGGTACGCTTTGAGATCGAAAACGATCCGATATTATATCTTCAAAATGATTACATGAACATCAATAAAAATGAACACGAGGTCGATTAGGTATCGTTTTGGCCTATTTTAGTACCTAAATTTTTAAAATTTTCAAAATCATACTCAACGTTTAGTTTTTATTTCATTTTAGTACTCTATCGTTAAAAACTTAAAGCATTTAGTACTTAAACTATCAATTTTGTACTTAAACTTTCTATTTTTTTTTCAAAACTTAACATTGAATTTGAACGAGGGTACTAAAATGAAACAAAAACTAAATTTTAGGTATGGTTTTGAAAAAAATGAAAGTTTAGGTACTAAAACAACTAAAACTGATAGTTTAGGTACTAAACGCATAATTTACCCTTAATTATATTATCAATTTTGACTTACTAATGACATTATAAGGGTGGAAGACATGGACAAAAGCATGATTTTATGATAGGGAGCGAACTTATAAAATCTTAAAGATATTGAAAATAAATTATCAATTGAAAATACCTAAATTATATAAAACGTTGAAGTTTTTTGGGGACAATCACTCCCGCCAGCCCCCTTGGTCCATCCCCGGTAAAAGAATCAAATTAAGGCAACTTAATGTAGGATAAAATCTTAATTTTCAGCATAGTAGAGGGACTAAATTCATAATTTTGTGAAATCTTGAAACAGAAAATAAAGAGGCACCTACAACAGTCCCAGCTGACTATGACAACAATAGTTCAATCAAAGCATTCAACTTCCGTGAGTTAGCCTCCGCCACTAAGAATTTCCGTCAAGAATGCTTGTTAGGTGAAGGTAGTCTCGGCAAAGTTTACAAGGGAACGATTCCGGCCACCGGCCAGGTCCGCTTTTACGTCTGAACCTTTCGTATATTCGAAGGATCGTATACATATATTTATATCGTGTCGGATTATGTCTTCGACACGTATAATGCGTCTCGGGGTTATTTACTAATGGTTTGTTTATAGGAGGTTGCCGTGAAACAACTTGATAGGAATGCAATGGAAGGAGGCAATGAGTTCTTTGTGGAAGTTGGGCAGCTAAGTCTCCTACAGCATCCAAATTTGGTCGGTCTTGTTGGATATTGTGCTGATGGAGATCAGAGGCTTTTGGTTTATGAATTCATGCCTGGGGGATCCTTAGAAGATCATCTGCATGGTACATGCAATTAAATCTTTGTTTTCGGGTTAATTTCGTCGGATATCCCCGAACTATTATCTAGATTTTGAATTGGTCCCTATATTTCAAAACATCCTGATTAGTCCTTTTCAGTATTGCATCAGTCAGTTCCATCAGTTTAGTCGTCAGATTTTTGGTGTTAAATACCTCTTTCGGATCTCTTTCACAAGTCACACCTTTGCCTATCTAAACCTTTGAAACAAAAAGCCCTCGGATTATCTCCTCCGCTGAGCATAGTTCCTGGGGTTTCACGTCTTTCGACCAATAATTCTCCTTTGACATGAATTCTAATAGGCCCACGTGATTTGTCATAGTCAAATTTACCATTAGATGGTAATATATATTCTCCCCATCAACCTACGATAACCATTATGACCTTACATCTGACATCATAACTAAGGGTCATTATAAAAACTCCACATAAGATTGAGATGATCTCTTAGACTCTTCTCCTCTCCTAGTCAAGGACAACCATTGTCTTGGTCACACCACCTTTTCTAAAATTATCGGTCGAGACTCCCCTTCTAAATTGATGAACCATTTATAACTGTCACGGTCCAAACATTACCGTCAACAACTTTAAATATGCTTCACCCTATATTTGAGTTGACACCTCATAGTCAAAACTAATAACAAATTTGATGGAAGGGTTTGATTGATATGATATAGTTACTTTAAGGACTCAATTACAAATATATATTTAGATGTAGGACTCAATTACAAAGTGTAATTAATAAAAATGTCAAAGCAGGAGGAGGGAAGCCATTAGATTGGGTTACGAGAATGAAAATTGCACAAGGGACGGCTCAAGGTCTACAATACTTACACGAGAAGGCTAAACCTCCAATAATATACCGTGACCTCAAGTCCTCAAAAGTGTTGTTAGACGATGAATTCAACCCGAAGCTGTCGAACATCGGGATCGACAAGCTCGGATCGTCGTCCGACAGCAAGATGCCGATGCAGTCGAAGATGATGGATAACAATGGTTACAATGCTCCCGAGTGTATGCAATCAGGTACCGTCAATGCACAGACCGATGTCTATAGCTTCGGGGTTGTGCTGTTGGAGCTTATCTCCGGAAGAAAAGCCCTCGACCCTTCCAAACCCGAGGACGAGAAAAATTTAGTTGCTTGGGTAAGTACCTAGCTAGGGTTTATTTGTTTGATTTTTCATAAAAAAAGGTCGAGTTAGTTCGGGTTTTATATTTTTCGAATTTTTTCGAGTTCACATCATTTCATATTAGGTTATTTTGGGTTTAGATCCTTCGGTTCTTTTGATTGAGTTTTTCTTGAATAGACTCATTTCGTATTGGGTAAAGAACACAAATGGTCCAATTGTAACATGTTGATTTGTTGAGTTCATCGACTATAAAAGTTACAAAATGGTCATCAGACTATTTATATGTTCCAAACTCGACTTTTTTTGTTAAAAAATTTACAATCATCTGAGCTAGACATTAATATGTTGACTGAGATATGATAGTCGTTTGAGATTCTAGGATTAAATTTTATCATATTCTAGTTAGCAGGTTAACATACAACTCAAATTGCCGTCAATTTTTTAACGGAAAAAGATGAGTTTGGAACATATGAATAGTTGGATGGTCATTTTGTAACTTTTGATAGTCAGGAGGCTCAACAAAGCAATGCTCTATGGTCGGGGGACCATTTTGTAACTTTTAATAGTCAATGGACTCAACAAATCAATGTTCTATAGTTAGGGTACCATTTTGTAACTTTTAATAGTCATGGGACTCAACAAAGCAATGCTCTATAATCAAGGACTATTTGTGTACTTTTACCCTTTTGTATTCTAGTCATTTTAGTTTTTATGTTTTACATGAGTTTTGATCATTTTGAGTTACTTGTTTAGATTATTTCGAGTTAATATCATTTTGAACTCTAATCATGTGGGTTTTGTTAGGGTTTGATACTGATAGCAAAATGGGATAATTTTCATTTACCCCTTCAAAATCTACAAAATGTAATGAATATCAAGGTAAAATTGCACTATGAACCCCTCAAATTTACTTAGGGTTTATTGTATGATTGGAACAGGCACAACCAATATTCAAGGAACCAAAAAATTTCCCACAAATGGCAGATCCTTCACTCAACAAAAAATTCCCAGAAAGAGGATTGAATCAAGCTGTTGCAATGGCAGCCATGTGCGTGCAAGAAGAAGCGGCGACGCGGCCATTGATCAGCGATCTATCTTCGGTCTTAAGTTTCCTTTCAATGGCCACTGAAGCAAACAACATCCCTGAAGATCTCCCTCCTGCAATCTCAGGAAAATTGCGGAGCATGTCGAGAGATGGCGGATCATCGGACGACAACGATGAAGACAAGGAAACCGATAACGAATCCGAAAGCGACGACGCTTCCGCCGACGGAAACGATGATCGTTCTCTAAGCCACAAGAGTAGCGGGAGGTCGTTGTCTTCGTTCGGCAGTAGGAGCGGACGAGACCGTTCCTTGAGCCACAAGAAATCGAGCAAATCAGTAAACTACTCGACGTACGGCAGCGACGCGTCTGAGAGTAATTCGGAAGGCGATGAAGGCAGTGCTTCTTCGAGCAATGAAAAGGCCAATGAACATTCCGAAGACGATGATTCGAGCAACGAGAAGGCCGATGAAAGACGAAACGACAGCATGAAATCGAACTCTTCAGCAAAAAAGACTAGAAAGAAAGAAAAAACATCAAAGGGTAGTAAAAGTAGCAGGAAGAAGAAGAAACCTAAGGACGAAGACGATTCGTCGCACCATAGGAGTAGTTCCACAAAAAAGGGTCGCCGGAAAGCTAAAGACGACGACGACGACAACGAAGACGGTTCACATGGAGGATCACAGCCTGAAAACTGAAGCAAAATTGTTGGAGGAACTTAAACACAAGTAGTAACCCTTTTTAATGAGCAAAACAACTTATAAACTCATATGATTTATTTTACTGATTTTAATTTTACTTTTAATTTGCATGAAAATTTACCAATTCCAAAAGTTTTACAAATTCATGCATGGTAAAAATTCCACCTAAATTCACAGTTGTATTCATTAAAGAATGTAATGTTCGTAAATTTCCTCGGTTTAATTCTCAATTTCAATCTTTTATTTTAAAGAAATTGAGAAAATAATCCCTTTACTTTAATTTGTTAGAATCCGGTCTTTATAATTTATGAAAACCGACAAATTTATCCGATTCGATAGATCTTTTAGACCTAATAAACCATTGACCTAAAAATTGATAGACCAACAATTTATATGCAACAAATTGACAAAAGCCAATGATTCAAGTTAATGTGTTTATTGAAAATGTGTGGTGACTGAATTATAATAAATTAAAGTAGATGGTCTAATTTTTCACTTTTTATAAAGTAAGGGATAAAATTGTATTCTAAATAGACCATGATTTGTTTTTTAAAAGTTATAATTTAATCACATGATTAAAATATTATAAGAATATATTGTTTCATCATTAGAATTGAAAATGTGATGTGGTATAATAACTATTTCAGTCCTCAAACCTTATATATTATATCTTTTTAGTTCTATTATGAAACTATTAACAAAAATTTAACCTCCTAATTTAAAAACTCCATCAATTCAGTCCTTTTCGTGATACTATCAAACTAAATGAGTCCATCAGATCAATCAATACTTGGATAATTGTATTCTACCATAATGTAATAAGAAGTTATTGATAAAAGTCTTCCATCAATGAATGTTAGTCAATTGTATGGATGGCCTTACAAAGTACATGTATAACAAAACTTATGATTCGAATATAAGATTGGTCAACGAGCAGAACAATTTGCATTCGTTAGTTTGGTGACATGACATATTAGTAAAATGAATTAATTTTTTAATTTGACCATTAAAGTTTATATAAGATATTAATTAGACCCGTGAAATTCAGACAAAAATATATCAATTAACCAATAAATTTGATCGAAATCCCTTTCTGCCTGTCGCCGATCACTGTCGGCTGCCATCGACTGTTGTCCTCGATGACCATTGGATCTCGAAATATGAAAAATTAAGTCCATAATGAATTAATTTTCAAAGTTTAAGTCCTTGATTTTCTCTCTAAACAAGGAATAAGCCAATTAAGGGAAAATTACAAGAAAATCATGATTAGAGCAAGATTTTAGGAATTTCATTACTTCCTGAACTTTCCCTAAATTTTGTAGATAAAATTAACGTATTAAATGCTAAAAAATAATGGCATTTGAATGTGGAAATGGGTTTACTGTTTCCCTAAATTTTGCATTACAAATAGCAAAAACTAGTATTCCATTCATCCCATCTTTATGATATTTACGTGTCAAATTAGTATTTCATCTAAAGTTCAAGTGTCAAATTAAAAAACAGCCCCTTTTATTTACGTGTCATATCATCAAACTAAAAACATCTGACGTCCTAGTAACCAAAATGTTATAAATTGATAACGCCAATGACCAAAAAAATATAATTGGATAACATAAGAGACCAAAGCCTTAAGTTTTTATTTATTAATTCGATGAGTAAAAATGAACACTTATAAAATGAAAAGGACCATTTCAATAGTTTACCCAAAAAGATTTTACCAGCTCCCCTACTAGTACCTTACTCTAAAATAAATACAATGTTTCATTGATAAAATTCAACACCATATAAAAATATTAATAGTAATTCTAAGCCACATGAAAGTAATATAACAATTACGAGAGAAAAATAAAAATTAAATTAATCGAATTTTAAAAATTAAAAATTTTATTATTATAGCATACCATGTTAGATTTATGTTTCAATTTTATCGATGAAGTAACATGCGTGTAATAACACGACATGTTTGTAAACGACCTAATAATTGAGTGATCTAGAACATAATTTATCCTTTTAAACAGTTTCTACCTAGGAGAAATTCCTAACGAGTATTGAACCCGACGATCAGGAGGAGAGGAGAGATGTCAACCGAGAACTTTTAAATAGGTTGTTGACAATATTTAAAATATACTTTATTATGAAATAAACATTAATGTAGCCCATAAAATTAATTGGTTTATTTCCATAAAACAAAAAATTAAAAATAATGAACGTAAATTTTGATATTCTAAGTTTGATTTATTTCCATAAAACAGAAGTTTAGTATACTATTTAAGAGTGTTCATGAAAACTTATAATTACAAGAGAAGAGAAGAAAAATAGAATCATCACAGTATAGATTTTTTTTAACAAGAAATGAGAACTAGTACGAGGTTTGTTTATGTCCCCATGATTCTGATTTTAGGGTTTGTTATGTTTTCAATCCATGCAGATTCATATAAAACAAATCAAGCTCGTCGTGTTTTGAACTTAGTGGTACTTCCTCAAGTCCCCGTTCCACCGTCTTCCCCCGGTCACGGTGGAAATAAACCGGTTGCGCCGCCGTCCCATGTAGGCCAATCTGGTCGAGCCTTGAACTTTGGTGTACTTCCTCAGGTACTTGTACCACCATCTTCACCCGGTCATGGTGGAAATAAACCGTTTGCGCCGCCATCACATGTAAGCCAATCCGGTCGAGCCTTGAACTTTGGTGTACTTCCTCAGGCGCCTGTACCACCTTCTTCACCCGGTCACGGTGGAAATAAACCGGTTGCGCCGCCGTCCCATGTAGGCCAATCTGGTCGAGCCTTGAACTTTGGTGTACTTCCTCAGGTACCTGTACCACCATCTTCACCCGGTCATGGTGGAAATAAACCGGTTGCGCCGCCATCCCATGTAAGCCAATCCGGTCGTGCCTTGAACTTTGGTGTACTTCCTCAGGCGCCTGTACCACCATCTTCACCCGGTCACGGTGGAAATAAACCGGTTGCGCCGCCATCCCATGTAAGCCAATCCGGTCGTGCCTTGAACTTTGGTGTACTTCCTCAGGCGCCTGTACCACCTTCTTCACCCGGTCACGGTGGAAATAAACCGGTTGCGCCGCCGTCCCATGTAGGCCAATCTGGTCGAGCCTTGAACTTTGGTGTACTTCCTCAGGTACCTGTACCACCATCTTCACCCGGTCATGGTGGAAATAAACCGTTTGCGCCGCCATCCCATGTAAGCCAATCCGGTCGTGCCTTGAACTTTGGTGTACTTCCTCAGGCGCCTGTACCACCTTCTTCACCCGGTCACGGTGGAAATAAACCGGTTGCGCCGCCGTCCCACGTAGGCCAATCTGGTCGAACCTTGAACTTTGGTGTACTTCCTCAGGTACCTGTACCACCATCTTCACCCGGTCATGGTGGAAATAAACCAGTTGCGCCGCCATCCCATGTAAGCCAATCCGGTCGTGCCTTGAACTTTGGTGTACTTCCTCAGGCACCTGTACCACCTTCTTCACCCGGTCACGGTGGAAATAAACCGGTTGCGCCGCCGTCCCATGTAGGCCAATCTGGTCGAGCCTTGAACTTTGGTGTACTTCCTCAGGTACCTGTACCACCTTCTTCACCCGGTCATGGTGGAAATAAACCGATTGCGCCGCCATCCCATGTAAGCCAATCCGGTCGTGCCTTGAACTTTGGTGTACTTCCTCAGGCACCTGTACCACCATCTTCACCTGGTCACGGTGGAAATAAACCGTCTCCGTCCTATGTCAGTCAAGCCGTTCGTGCTTTGAACTTTGGTGTACTTCCTCAGGCACCCGTGCCACCGTCTTCGCCCGGTCACGGTGGAAATAAACCGGTTGCGCCTCCATCCCATGTCAGTCAAGCCGGTCTTGCTTTGAACTTTGGGGTACTTCCCAAGGCATCTGTACCACCATCTTCGCCCGGTCACGGCGGAAATAAACCGGTTCCGGTTGCGCCTCTGCCGTGATTTGAACACGTAGGAAAATTATTTTCTGTTGATCTCATGATCGTTTTCCTCGTTTTTATTTCAACTCCTAATAGCTTATTTCCCAAGAATATGTTCTTAATATGTTCTTTACACGTTATGGTTGAGGATTTACTATTTTCATAATAACATATTTTCATATTTTGGTTTTAATTGAGTTTAATGTTGTGATTTATAATCCATTTAAATAATATGAATTAAATCAATTCGGTGTTCAAAAAGATTATCGTTGTTAGTTGAGTTCTCGAGTTCAAACATCAAGTATGTGCATATATATATATATATATGACTGTTGAATGTCAAATAGTTGAGTCTTTGAATAAATATTACTTAATATTGACCCAAATTAATAAAAAGTATAAACTACGCATTCAGTACTTAAATTATCAATTTTGGTTTGTGTTAGTACTTAAACTTTTAATTTTATCAAAATCATTCATAACTTTTAGTTTTTATTTCTTTTCAATGTTAAAAACTTAAAGCGATTAGTACCTAAATAAACAATTTTTGTCCAGTTTGGTATCTAAACTTTCAATTTTTTTAAAATAAAAACTTAACGTTAAATTTTGAACATGATTACTAAAATGAAATAGAAACTAAACTTTAAGTATAGTTATTTTTAAAATTGATAGTTTAATTACTGAATACATCATTTCTAAAAAATGGTTTAAAAACTTGATTCGCTTTCTAATATTGGTGGCGGAGGACTAAATCCGCCACCAACACACCCAAATCAAGTTGATCATGATTTGAATGTTGCGGTGCTTCTCGAGAAACCTATTCTGCCATCTATGAGGCACGGCGGACTGTATCCGCCACCAACGCTTGCAAGTCAAGTTGATGGTGACTTGAACGTTAGGTCAATTCTTGAGGAACTCGATTCGCTTTCTAACATTGGTGGCGGCGGACTAAATCCGCCACCAACACATCCAAATCAAGTTGATCATGACTTGACCGTTGAGGTACTCCGGAGAAACCTATTTTGCCATCTATGGGGCATGGCGGACTGTATCCGCCACCGACACATGCTAGTCAAGCTGACCGTGACGTAAACGTCGGAGTACTTCCTGAGAGTATGTTCTACCATCTACGATCGGTAAATAGGACGGTTCCGCCATATCCCGAGGCAAAGTGATCATATTTTGAACTCTTAATACCTCCCAAGTAACCAGTTTCACCATCTACACCCGGTCACGGTGGAAAATAAACTCGTTTCATGTGAATTCAAGGCCTAAGTGCTTTTTAATAGCCAAAATTATTTTGTTATTATCTTTCGAATAATTAAATAATTTTTCATTTACGATCAAATCAAAAGATTATTATCGTTATCGTTGATATTGTCATCACCGTTATCGTTTCAATTATGTTTATTAATCGATCTGGATTAAATACTGCAAAAATCTATGTAGGAAAAATAATCACCTTAGTGATCCAAAACATTAGTCTTTCTTATTTATTAAAAGAGAAATAAATAACCTTCGAGCTATATAGTTCAATACATAACATTCGTCACATAGGATGATATTCAAAAGACTTTTAATTCATGGTATTCAATCATGGATGGTCTTCCTCGTTATTATTATCATCCCTGTTTTCTTCTGCAAAATAAAAACAAAAAGCACATTAATTATATAAAAAAAATATGAAAGAGTACATTAAGTCCCTATACTTAAAAAAACAACGTGATCCTCGTATTATTTTTTTCTCTTAATGTGGCTCTTCAATTCAAAAAAGAACTTGATGTGACCCTTTGACCAATGTTTTTCTTCAATTTCCGATTATATGAGCAGTTGTTGAAGGGGAAGGAAAAGAATCATGGTGATAGTTTTTGCATAAACTTATGATTTACTTAGAGCATCCTAATGGAGAATGACTTACACTAATATTGGTCAATGACGGAAAACGTTGGTCGAAGTACCACATTAGGTTCTTTTCTTGAGTTGGAGGATTACATTGAGAGAAAAATAGTACGAGGGCTACATTAGTTTTTTTCTTTTTCTTTTTAAAGTATAGGGACTTCGCGTACCCTTTTACCAGAAAAATCTATAATTAATTTGTAAACCGAACATACCTTTGCCATATATTGCTTGAAACATTCTTAGATGGGGATCAACCGGCAACCCCATGGCTGCATACGACAGATCGTACACTTTGTTCTTGATAATTTTCGACCTATGGATCGAGCTAAATTTTTCAGAAATTGAATCGAACTCAAACAAATAAAGTTTCGTGTGTCTAAATCCGATCCAACTTAAAGTTATAATTAATGTTTAAACATGTAGCATAATGTATACCTTGAACTTGAAGCACCACGAACACCAACTCTTTGACGTTGACTGCCTTCTCTTATTGACGTACACTCCATAAAATGAAGGTTTGGGTCTTCCTTCCAATTCATTATCCTCTGCATCGTAAATATTAGTAATCATCCACGAGTTCGAATTCTATCACTGTAAATAAAAAAAATAGATTAAAAGATTCGTTTTCATACTTGTTGAATTGATCGATCATCATTCAGATGAAAGTTATCTGATGTTAATAGTGCTTGGAATCCGAAATCATGTGACCTAATCGGAAGGAAAAGGAAAATAAAAATTATATGATATTAGAAAATAACATGAATATTATACGAATGTTATACGAATATACGAATAATCGGATTTTTATATAGAAACACAATACTGGGAGAAATACCCTAATTTTGTAGCAGGTTCATGTAAATGGTGCCAATTAATCCAATTTGTGTTGGCCAAAGGGGATCCACTCCAATTTCCTTGCTCTACCTATACAAATGAATAATGTGAAGGAAATGAAAGTTGAAAAAAGAGTATTTCCAATGTATAATTGAATTCTTCTACACTTTACTTTCCTGGTCAAACTACGGTTTCGGTCCCTCTATAATGCTTAAATTTCAGATTTAGTCCATGCATTTTAATTCGGCATAGTTTGGTCTCTTTGTTCTTATGATGTTATTAGCTAATCAAAATTGCTGGCATTATTAATTATTCCATTTAAAATACAAGCATAGTTTTTGTTAAAAATATCCTTTCTAACTAAGAATGATCATTTTAGGACCTGATCGAATTTTTAGCCCATTCGAATCTGACTCGAGTGTAACATACTTATTCACTCATAATCCGACTCGAGTTTATGGAAGTTCCACTCGACCCAAAATCTAATATGGTTTTTAAGGTAAAAATCCACATGACCTGAACCTTGACCCGACTTTTAAGGTAAAAATTCATTTAGATAGAATTACATGCTAGAATTCGTATTTCGTACTTAATAAATATCATCTTATTTCGTTTTAGATTTTGATCTTACTTCCGTCTCTAGATATAACTAAACTAAACTCGATATAAAAGAATATAGAAAATCGAATAACCTGAGGAAATTGAAGTCTAGAAGAAGTACTCAAACGGAACTCCGGTGGAAGATTTGACGTAGGAAAACGGTAGCCATCGGAGGCTTCAATGGCATTGTTCATCAAATCTCCACTTGACCTAATTAATTGCCACAGAAAATGCTGTAATTTCACTAAATATTTTTCAAATATAAAACAAATTTAGAAAGAGAGAGGATGATTAGAAGTGAATGACACACATAAATGAATGTTCAACAACGTTGTTTTGCTTACGACCGAGTGATCGATTTGTTCCATTGCTTTCATCTGAAGAAGAAGAAGAAGATGATGAACTTCCTGCATTCTCACTATCTTTTTTCATCTGTTGATCTGAATACGTAATTGTTGAACGAGTAATATTTTTAGAGTCGAGTCGAATCAAACTAAATATTAATATGAAAAGGGATAAAGTTATTAAGACAAACCTTTTTCTTACCAACACTTTTAGACAAAGCTTGCTGTTTGGTTTAGTTAATATGTATATATATGCATGCATGCATGCATGTATATTAATAATTAAGAATGGGTTAATTATGGTAATTAACCTATTGGAGATTTTGTAATTGGCTTAATTAGGATAAAAGAATGCAGGATGGATTTTTCTTTCCATGTATTAATAAATCCATCATGATCTTGCTTGTCATCTTTGACTATGGGATGGATTGAGAGGTGTTCGAGTCGGTGATATTTTAAAATAAAATTAAATTTATATTTTAGATATTTTTTATATTTTTTGTTGATTATCTAATTTTATACCTCTAAAATTTTATAATTCGGTATTTCTTATGCTTGTCTCTTGTAACTGATTAATTATGTTTTATTTTTTAGGGTAAAGTGTACAAATGGTCCCCGTAATAGGATATTGCATTATTCAGTTCATCGACTGTTAAAAGTTACAAAATGGTCCTTTGACTATAGAATGTTGCTTTGTTGAGTCCTTTGACTGTTAAAAGTTACAAAATGTTCATCGACTATTCATTATGTTCCAAACTCAACCTTTTTTCTTTAAAAAATTGATGGTATTTTGAGTTTAACGTTAACATGATGATTGTGATATGATAAAATATGATCTCAGAATCTCAAATGATTATCATATCCCAGTTATCATATTAATGTCTAACTTTGACAACTGTCAATTTTTTAACGAAAAAGGATGAGCTTAACGCATAATGAATAATCAGATTACCATTTTATAACTTTTAATAGTCGAAGGACTTAACAAAGCAACATTCTATGGTTAGAATACTATTTTGTAACTTTTAATAGTCGATGGACTTAATAAAACAACATCCTATAATTTAAGGACCATTTGTGTACTTTACCCTATTTTTAATGATCATATTTTTGTAGAGATAAAAATCAATTTCTTTTAAATTATTTATTTTTAAAAAATGAATTTGATTGTCATTTTGAAAAAGAAAATTTTCATAAATATACGAGTTACTCATTTAAGAAATTAAAATATTTGAGCTTGACTAAAGAAATTTTCAAAGTAAAGGATCTAATCATGTTAAATAAAAATATAGGTATCAAATTCCGAATTTAAATATAGGTGAGAGGCCAAAATCACAATTTGACCAAACAATTTTTTTTATAGAAAAAAGGCTAATGAATTTCACTTATCTATAGGGAAGCACCCCAAGTAAACTTCATAATCTTTATACTAAAACAAACCATAAAAGAACTTTTGATTACAACACTAAACTTCCCAACCTTCAATCCCTCTGATGATCATAAAATGATTCCATTAAGATTTATGTTCTCGTTTTCGAGGCTCCGTTTTTGCGGCATGGGCAAGTGAAACACTTCCGACCTGTATTCATTAGAACGATGACGGGCCTGTCGATGAATATCCAGCAGCTTTCATCTCCTTGAGTGTTCCGGCTAACCAGTCCAAGCCTTCGTAGAGGCCGTCTCCTCTAAGTGCACAAGTACCTTGTATGTGCCATTTTCGGTTCTTCAGATCAAAAAGACCTAACCCTTCGCATACCTCCATCGGAGTCATTGCTCCTTTCTGGAAAAAGAAATCGTAAAAATCGGATTAAATGGAACAAATATTTTTTCATGAAGAAACTTAGATGTACAAATCAATGTTTATCGAGCACTGCTGTATTCGTCTCAGCTATTCAGCCAAAAGATTGTTATGTCAGATTACTCAAAATCGCATGTATCGGTTCTAGTAGTTCATCTAGCAGACACCCTATTCATCTGCAACGTACATAGAAAGACATGTAGTCAAACAATTGCAGAAAACATACCATGTCCTGTTTGTTGGCGAACACCAAGATGACACTGTTGAGCATAAACGGATCGTTGATGATATTCTGAAAGAATACAAATAAAGAAAAAAAAATAGACAACGTTAATCTCGAATGTCTAACAAGTTTGAGTACATTCTAAATTTACAACCTGAAATTCAAGTTTAGCTTTCCCGATCCTCTCTCGGTCCAAGGAGTCGACAACGTAGATCTGCATAGACATTCGTATTAGAGAGAGATTTGAATGTTCTAATCTTTTCACTCGGTACTGAAGAACAGAGCAAAATCGATTTGATAAACAAAATCTTATCACCAATCCATCAGTATTATTGAAGTAGTGCCTCCAAAGCGGCCTTAGTTTCTCCTGTCCGCCGACATCCCAAACCGTGAACATCACATTCTTATATTGAACTTTCTCCACATTAAAACCTGAAGGAGATATCGACAAGAACTCAGTGCTCGTATCAACTTGCCTATCCACCTTAATAACATTAATTAAAAGCCAAATTTTCAACCAAAGACTATACGACGAATATGAGATTAGGGCAATAACACTAATCAATGGTCCTAATGCAAGCAGCCTTCCACCCGTTTTACGCAGAGATGCTGTTTATAGGGTTCAAACCCATAGATCATAACCAAAAAGATGGAAAGTTGACACTACATTATCACGCCACGCACGACGAAATCAACAAAATAAAACATGATCCAAGCATTTTCTAGAAGTACATTTTCTAAAATAAAATCAAGTTATTATGGTCTAAGTTGCCTACCAATAGTGGGGACAGTTGATAAAACTTCTCCAATGTGCAACTTGTACAATATAGTTGTTTTTCCAGCTGCATCAAGGCCAAGCATCACAACCTAAGCCAGCTCCACAAAAGTTACAATAAGAAAGGAGAACATAAAGCGCAAAAAATAGTTGAAAAGAAGTCGACAAAACCAATATCTAATTGTAAGAGTAATCGTAAAATAGAATAGCCTTTAATAACAGGCTGGGATAAATAATAACGATAACGATGCCCAGATGTGGTACAAAAACAAGTAAAGACATGAAAAATATGCTACTAACTAAAACCAGAAAGTTGAAAACAATATACTGATAATGTTAAAAAATGACTGCCTTGGATTATAGTTTCTATGCTGAACCCGTTCAAAGCATTATATCTCAAGTCAGAAAAATGTAAGTGATACCCATTTAAACCGATCGGAATTAAGATTTATCTATTTATATTTTAGCACCTATATTCAACAAACAAGTAAATTCAGCCTCTTTCCAACTTCAACCACTCAGGTTCATAATACCAAAAATTATTTACTATTTCTAGATTTTCCAACATAGTCTAGTGACGGTGCAAAAATATTTATTAACTGCCCTTCGATAACCGCATACACTTCAACCGCGTAATAAGCATAAAACAACAGTACTAGGAATGCATCAAAACCTAAATGACGTCGAGGTGCATTTAGCGTAACTTCATGTTTCTTCGTTACAGAAAAACAAGATAACTAACTCAGGAATAAATTCAAAAATAAATAGCGTAACAGCATTAAGGTTCCCTTCACATTGGCCAGAAGATCAGGTTTAATTGGATTGTTATCAGCTTCCATGGCAATGGGCAAGGAGCTGGTTATAATGGGGAGACTTTAGCCAAAAGAATCGACCGATTTAAAGAAACGTAACCCACAATTTAATGCAAAGGACTATAGGAGGACTCGAAAATGGAAAAGGTGTACCAATCTTAAATATTCGAGTTCTGCATTATTGATTATACATCCTATTATACTAGAACTCGAAACCAAGAGCAAGTATCTTAGTTTTGCACATTGGTAAATCAACACTGAGTGAGCCTTACCGAGAGTGAAAAAAATAACTAAGGCAAACTATATAAGTTCTCAATATGATCAATGCAGAACCATCCCATTGTTGTGTTTTTCATTTATCTCATTCATGGAAGAGCAAGCTATTGCAAATACTTAAGTGACAAATGATCCATGCAACAAAAAATCTTCATACAAGCAAGTATTTCTACATCAGAGATCGACCCAAATCTTCTAACACAATGTAATGAAATGCAAGGAAAATATTTAGCTAAATGTCAAACATCTAAATCTCACTAACCAAATTAGAGAAAATTTTACCAAGTTTCTAGCTTGGAGATAAGATCTTAAGCAATCCAACTCTACATTAATCACAAACCAAATACATCGGGTAAAAAGAACCCCCAACGATGAAGAGAATTCGGTTTTAAAAAGTACGAACAATAAGTAAATGTCCAATTATCAACAAATAAAAGAAAAGGATAGAGATTGAAAAAAAAATACCCTCATCTCTGAGTTACCAAAGAAGCTATCGAAGAGCTTGCGAAAAGCTTGACCCATCCTTTTAAAAGCTCGAAAAATACCCTACTTTTGTTTTGGGGTTTTCTGTTTTCTTCACCCTCTCTCAAAGAAACCTATGAATTCTGGGTTATGAGAGACAGGGAAAAAAGGAATTCTTTTGATGAAAAAAGGACTGGGTTTTCTTCCCTTGCTGATGATAGAAATAAAAATTCGAGCTTTACAGGGTGAGACAAAGGGAGGAAAGCGTCGTTAGAGAGATAAAATTACAGATGAGAAGGCGGCGTTTGATGGCTGATGAAAATGAACAAGGAAAGCAGTGATGATTTTGATTTTCTTTTCTTTTCTTTTCTTTCCATTTTCCAAGCTGTTTCGTGGTGGGCGGAAATGGAATTATTCAATAGGCTTAATCATATGGAATATATTTACACAACAAATTGAGTTGGAAATGTGACTCCAATTATTATTCTATTTAAATTAATTAATTAATTAAATATTAATAATTAACTTTAAAATATATCATACGAAGCTTAAAGAAAAATCATAACCCTACAAGTATATATGAGGATATTTTCGGATAAATACAGTGATTGAATTTAGTGATAAAGTTTTGGGGCTAACTTAAAATATTAAAAAATTTGAAAGTTTAAATTAAAATTTTCAAAAATTTTGAAGGGTTTACTTTATATTTTTTCCAAACATATTTGGGTCTAACTAAAACTTTTGAAATTTTGAGAGACTTAATAATAATTTTTTTTTAAAAAATATAGGATGAGATTTAATTAAGAACATTAAAAAATTTTAAATTTAATGTAAATTTTTAAAAAATTAGAATCAAATAGTATCGTAGCATCATAAATATTTACAATTGAGTTTAAACAAAAACTCAATCAACTCGACTCATATTTCATAAAATCAACTCAAAAAAAATTTAAATAAAATTTTGAGTTATAAAATAGGACTCTTGAGCACAAAATTTTTTGACTCGATTCGATCAAATGATCACCCTTACCTGTAGGGGTGAGCAAAATTCGGCTAGAAAAAATCTAATTTTTCGACTCGACTCGATTGAATGCTCACCCCTATGTGCAAGCACGTGAGCACAGATAAGCTGAATATGTTTTTGCAACTGTTGATGAAACTTGCAGAATCTTTTCCATCTTCCTACTGATGCTATTTATGGCAGTCCATCTGCAGGCTTTATGAAGGAAGAACAGCTCAGGGTCCATTCAAAGGCACACCAGTGATCTTTAAGGTGATATTATTTATATATTTTTCTTATTAATACTCATTTTTTCAGCCATAGTTAACCCTTTCTTAGAGGGTCTTTGGGGAAGGGCATCTTCTGCCGGTGCATTCACACCTATGGAGAAAAGAGCCTTTGGAATTGCAGATGACATGTAATGTTTTGATTTCCGGCGACGCTTCGCTAGCTGTTTCTATACCGAAATTAACTTCTTTTACTTCCTCTAGACAGATATGAAGCAGGTCTTCTTTGTGCGTACTTGGCTTTTGTTCCATTTTGTGAAGCAGGGATTATGGATGGCCTTTCATTGCAAGTAATCGATTTCTTTCATTGCAAGTAAGCATGATCCAAAAAGAACGAGCAGTTTTCTGACCAAACTAATTGCGGTTTCATGTACTGCCAGCGGCTTCTGGGAAGCACTTTCAAACTCGATGTCATGGCTACGAGAGAGTAAGCGTTTCGAATTTCCGAAAGTGCTGCTTGTCCCGAGAGGCATATCGGTCCTTTTATTATCAATATGATCATATCTGCAATATGATCATCTAACTACCACAGGTGAATGGCCCCATGAGTCTTTTGATTCGGGTTCGAAGTGTTTTGTATGAAAAAGGTGTCCCTGAGGTAAAACTTATAAGTACTCGGATCGAGTCGGAATTGCGATAGATCGTAGAAAGAGTCTCGAACCACCTTTCGATGTTTTTAGGGTCGAAAAATATGATCTCGAAGTCCGGATCCGTCTTCTTCGACTTTCACTGCTTGGTAAGTTAATGAAGCCGTTGATCAACGATGCTTGTGCGACGGTAAAATGGTATGCTGTTAGCTCCAAGGCTGGGAAATCCTTCCCTTCGTTTATGTAGAATTTATCTATTTAATGTTACAATTTTAGTTTATGGCATAAAAAGGTTTAATTATGCATTTCATCCTTCCAGTTTACGAAAATCGATAAGTTTGTTCCTCTCTTTTAACTCTATCATGGTGACCCTAAGCTTGGCACTCATTTGGTATGTTAATTTTTTAAAAATCATTTAATGAAGGAAAGCATTTAGAAGATGAAATAATGTATTGACATTCGGTCGAAAGTAGGATCGTAAATGAGATTAGACAGATTGTGAGCTACTTGAGATCGACTCGGACAAAACTCGATATATAATCGACTCAAATGGACTCGACTTGAGTTCTTAACGAGCCGAAACAAGCTACTTGATACTCGACTCGAAAAGTTCGTGAGCAGCTCGAAAATATAACATATTAAGATTTTATTTTTAAAAAAAATTGAATTATTAATAATATTAACATTTATGTGTTGATTTTTTTAAATGCAGTATAAGGTTTTCATGTATTTAAGGTTCAGGTTCAAGTTTGATTTTGAGGCTTCAATCGAGTTAAGTTTACGATATTTTTTTTCATTTCGAGCTTTTTCTAGCTTTTACGAGATTCGGTTCATGATTTCGAGTTTGAGTAGAGCTTGAAAATTTTAGACTCGTAAGTTTTCTAGTTGAGTCGAGCTTCATTTTAGAGTTTTTGAGTTGAGTCGAGCTCAGTAATACTCGAGCTCGGCTCGTTTATAGTCCTAATCGAAAGTGTATGACATTAACAATAAAAGAGTGTTTGGATGAAACAACTCATGAAAGATCTTCATCAGTCAAGGAAATGATCAACTAATGTTTATATGCAATAATTTATCGGTCATGAGTCTAGTAGATAATTCAGTCTTTCATACAAAAAGAACATATACAAATAGAGAGTGTTTACAAATGGAGCGAATTGGATTAGGGGGTCGCTCATCTCCTCTGCAGTACTCGATCTGGATTAATCGATCAATATATCAAAAACTGATGATTATACCAAAAAAATCAACATATATAAATGCATTATCAATGTATTAACGAGAAGAACATTGGAGAGAAGATTAAGATGGTACCAACAAAGATATATGAGCAAGAAACATATCTACAGAGAGTCCAAGTAAACCAAAGTTTCAGAAATTCAAGGAATCACTCGATATGATCCGTAAATCATAAATGGAAGGGTTTCGGATCGAGAGGTTTTGAAAGTTCTAGATAAAATTCAAAATTATCATATATCTCGTCGAGAATATCACGTATATTGTAAAAAGAAATAAAAATATATAAATTGATAAAGAAAAAGAAAAAAACGTTAAAAAATAAAAAATAAAAGAACGTTGAATTTATTTATTAAATATATAAAATTTTGTGATTTACCAATGTTAATTAAATAACAATCAACATATTTGGCAAGGTAGGTAGAGTTAGTTGTTTTCCAAATGTCAAATAGGATACCTACTAAATACTAAATATCATCATATCCCTTCTTACACTAGGTTGGCTTGTAATTAGGGATTTCTTCCTCAAGTTTGAAAGTAATATATATATATATATATATATATATTGAATTAAAAATTCAATAATTTATCAGCATTTATCTTTAATTAAAAACACTTATTATAAATCAACGGGTTAGTTCAAGTGGTAAGCAACTTGATATCGCTTAAGAAAGATCTAGGGTTTGAGTCATTGTGTATATAAAAAATCTATGCTAGGAGACTCACCCACCAAAATCAAGTGTGCGACGCGCATCGGTCTGGATTAGTCAGAGTAAAACCTTGAAACCGAGAGGACAATAAAAAAACACTAATAATAAATTAAAATTGTTAATAAAAATATTTAAAGATTTCGGGTTCGAATCCTTGAGTATATAGAAAACCCTGCTGGAAGACTCGTCCACCAAAATCAAGTGTGCGACGCGAGTCGATCTGAATTAGTTAGAGTGAAATCCTAAAACCGAGAGGACAATAAAAACACTAATAATAAATAAAAAAAAGTGTTAATAAAAATATTTAAATGTCTCGATTTTAAATCCTTGTGTATGTAAAAATTCTATACGGAGACTTACCTACCAAAACTAAATCAAATAATTATATATATATATATATATATATATATATATATATATATATAATCTCACCTAATGAGTACCAAATACTCTTGACTTTATTTATCATGAAGAGGATGCAGCTATCGAATAGCTTAATTAGCAGCAATGCTTTTATAATTTGATTTTTTTTGTTTATATATCATTTTTTAAGAATAATTTCGTTTAATTTTCAAAAAGAAAATTGCTAATAAAATTTTAGAGAATTAGTTTTTTAATCTATTAATATTTTAAAAAATATAAATATGTTTTTTGAGAAAATAAATTCCCTTGATTATATTTTACATTTACAATTAATTAATTATAATTATTAATATATTTAATTAAACCAATGTCATTGGCTCATAACACCATCACCATAAATTATTTCGAAGCACTTTTTCTTTTTGGGTCTTTAGTATGAGATTACTTGTGAATATTAATTTAAGTTTGACTTGAATTTCTTCTCTTAATTTCATGCACGATAATGTCAAACCCTTTTCGTAATCAATTTCGTGTCCAAAATTATTCACATCTAACTTATTTTATATTCATCTTGTTCATAATTAACAATTATTCAATGGCATCGCAATAATGAATATTTTTATTAATACACAATACAATTACAATAAAAATATAGCATTTACATAATATATAAGAATAACTTATTTTATGTTCATTCCATTAGAATCGAATAAAATCAAACTTGAAATCGAATAAATCCTTAACTAATAGTTGGTTATTGATAATATAAAATATATATATTCAATCCGAAAGCTTCACTTACTCTATAATATCCCTCCAGTAATGGTCACTTGCTATATCCTCCATGAAATCTCCCCAGGCTTCGAAGTTAGTTGACGTGGATGAAGGATTAGAGATCTCGTTCGGGTTAATCTTGTTTTTGACGATGGCGGGTCGACATTCCGGCGAGGCCGAGATCAATGCCGGGAGCTGATGAGGAGGAGGAGTACTCGAAGTCGGAACATTAACAGTAAATGATGAGTCTTTCATTGGCTGATGTTGTTGTTGACAAGCCTCTAAGTCGATAAAATTCGACTGTAGTTTCGTAACTTCATGCGGGGAGAAGCCGCCGTATGGAAGGTTACCGGTATTCGCTTCGAGCTGATGATTTTCCCGGAAAGTCGGTCCGGATATAAGGTTCATCGCTTCGATCGTCGAAGGGTTACGGAGGACTTGGACCATGTTATGCAACAAATGGAGCTTGGCCAGCATTGCGGCATCCCATTGTAGCCTTAGAGCATTGATATCCAGAGGTTGATTGTTCAACAAGTTATTGAAGTTGGCCGCAGCAAGCAACTGTAGCAGGCTAGCTAGAACGTCGAGATGATCGGTTCTCGGCTTATGAGTCACCGGATCGATCCCCATTTGAAGTAGCTTCTTCCTCAAATGCGTGTTCCAGAAATTTTTGATCTCGTTATCCGTTCTTCCGGGGAGATGACTCGCTATCGCAGACCACCTACATAACAATTACGTATCGCAAATCAAATGAATTAGCAAGTACAAAATAACAAAACAGACAAGTCGAAGACGTTACTTATTGCCAATAACCGCGTGAAGATTGACGATGGTTTGCTCTTCCTCGTCGGAGAACTTGCCTCTCTTGATATCCGGCCGGAGATAATTAGTCCATCGGAGCCTACAACTTTTGCCACACCGGTTCAATCCGGCCAAACTCGGAAGTTCTCTCCAACTTCCGTGCCCGTGTTTCCGAATGTGATCGACGAGAATCCGGTCCTCCTCGGGCATCCACGGCCCTTTCTTAAGGCCATTATCTTCACTCGCCGGCGATCTCCCCATCATCTCTACAAAATGGGAAAAGAGTGTGATGATGATGGAAGATTAGTTAGTGCTTAGAAAATGTGAGAAAATGGGGACTTGTTTATATAGTGTATGGGGATGTGGATTGATGTTTAGGAAATTGAAGACAAAATTGGAAAAAGGGTTAGGGTAAAAGAGAAGCATTTGTCCTATAACAAGTGTCATCTTTGACATGCAATTTCGATAGTATTATACGAAAGGAAATTACTGTTTTAGCCCTGTCTTCAAGTTGAAGAATTCTTTATACAATCTCTATATTTGATCAAATTTAATTCTAAATTCTCATAGATGAAGTTAGGGTAAAGTTGAAGCATCTTTCCTATAACTAGAGAATGTTATTAACCCAAATTCGATGAGTTTTGATTTGATTTTATATGGTTGGGTTCTTCTTTAAAAGATTATATTTGTGTCTGATCGAGTCATATTGTGTGGATGAGAGTGTCGGATTTGGGTCAGTAGCGAATTTAGAATAAAAAAATTGACTTGACCCATTCGATATAATTGCAAAAATATCACACATACACGTATATTATCTTTGACAATGAACGATTATACCTCTGGTATTCATGATGCTCGAACTAGAAATCTCAAGGAATCACAATAATTCCTTTAGCACCGATGTCGTTTGGTTCCTGCTAAAAATGAAATTCATATACAAAGCTACATTTTAAAAGGCCAATTTAGGAATTTAAAAGACATAATAACAATATTACCCTCAACGTTTGCACTAATGATCGTTTTGCTCCTTTTTATTTTTTAGCATTTTAGCCTAATGTTTTATTTTGCTGAAGTGACATCACGTATGGACTTATCAAATCCGTATGAAATATTGACAATTAGTCAATTAATAATTTTCATCTAATCAGATGTATTTTACTCCAAAATAAAACGTTGAAAACTAAAATATTTAAAAAAAATAAGAAGTAAAGTGATCATTTATATAAACGTTAGAAATAATTTTATTATTATACCGATTTAAAAATAGTAATTCCGATGCGTGCCCAAAATTCAATCCTTTTCTAGGCTGAGTTTCACTTGTCGGACAAGGCAGTCCTTTTGCCACTTGTCTTGCTTATTTATCTATTTACTTTACACGTCAGCAACTGAATTACATCAACATCAAGACTATGTTTTACACGTGTCACTCAACCAATGCTTCATTCCCACAAATGATATCTTTTGCTTCACAAAGACGGAACCTCGTCGTAAAATAATGAATTTTAGAGTAAACTACCATTAAGTACTTAAACTATCACTTTCAATCTGTTTCGGTACTTAAACTTTCAATATTTTTTAAAATCATATTTGATGTTTAATTTTGTTTTGTTTCATTTTAGTACCCCACCTTTAAAAATTTAACGAACGGGTTGACAATATAGATCTAGACAATCCGAATGGTGGACCATGAGAGAAGGACGAGTCGACCAATATAGTTTAGTTTCAGGTCCATCGAACGGATGACAACGAAGATTGAAGGATAAAAAAATAGAAGAGTCAATCATCGATTTGGGGAGATTGAGGCATTTTTCGATGAAATAGAGGTCGGAATCACGTTCAAAGGGTCAAAAAAGTTTGGACTTCATCGGCCGATGGATGCAACGACTGACGACTGTAGACACACCAGACAACGAGTCCGTTTGTCACGTTTTTAACACGGGGTACTAAAATAAAAAAAACAATTAAACTTTAGGTATAGTGTTGAAAGAAATGAAAGTTTATGTAATAAAATGAACTAAAATTGATAGTTTATATACTAAATGTGTAATTTACCCTACATTTTAACATAACAATTAATTATTATTATTTTATTATTTTTGTATTAATCAAACAACTTCAATAGTTAAGAGATGAATGCTATCCTAAAAAGTCTCAGATTCGAGCTCGACGTACGTAACGACGTTTAAATATTCATTATCAATTGATTAAGAGTCTTTCAAATAGATACTACATCGTATTAATAAAAAAATATTTTATTTAATATTTATAACTAAGCAGCAAATCGCACGCAAATGGCAGAAACTAAGATTTTATGCACCTGCCAAACCTTAAAGACTGATTTTAACTTCTCTTTTATGACATTAGTATTAGGTGGTGTTTGTTTTTACATAAGTAAAAGGGATCTGCAGACATCTATAGCAGAAGAGGTGGACCAAAAGTCTGCAGTCTGCAAGAAGAAGACTGTTTGTTTTTTAACGTCTGCAGACTGCTAAAATAAATTGAAATATAAATAAACTGATTTTTTAAACTTAAAATAGTTTTCCATTACTGAAATTTAAATAATTTTAATTTTATAATACTGAAATTTAAATAATCCATACAACTACAATAATAATTTTTTTTAAAATAAATCAATCCACATTTTAAAATAAATCAATCCATATTTTAAAATAAATCAATTCATATTTTAAAATAAATTTTTCCATATTTTAAAATAAATCAATCCATATTTTAAAATAAATTTTTCCATATTTAAAAATAAATCAATCTATATTTTAAAATAAATCAATCCATATTTTAAAATAAAATTTTCCATATTTTAAAATAAATCAATCCATATTTTAAAATAAATCAATTCATGTTTTAAAATAAATCAATTCATATTTTAAAATAAATCAATCCATATTTTAAAATAAAATTTTAAAATAGATTTAAATAATTTTAATTTATTTGAAGAGATTCGAGGACATAAAATTATGTATGCACCAAGAAGACTTCGCGCAGACGTTAGAAGAGCTTCTGTCTTCTAAAAAACAAACGGTCTGCGAATCTCAATGTCTGCGCGTGGTCTGCGAGGCACAGACATAAGAGCTTTGCAGACCTTGCACAGTAAAAACAAACACTACCTTATTGTTTTATTTTAAATGGTTGTATATAAACTTAAATTTTAATTACAAATCAAACTGTATTTGGTTATGATACACTGAATTTGGCATACATATATTGATATTGGGAGAGTAATTTAGGATATTACCGAATTTCGATATATATATATATATATATATATATATATATATATATATATATATTATTTACAGTTTTATGATCTCTATGTTTATGGTGGATATTGACTATTTGAGCGGTTAGGATGATATTCGGTTATGCAAGTTGTTACAACGGTTGAAGGCAGGCACATGAATTAGTTTCGTATCTGCATAGAGGCTTTAACCTTGTATCGTTAGAGTTTCTGATCTAAATTTCGTTCGATCCGATATAAAAAAAATCATGATACAACCTATTTGACGAAGAAATAAATTGAGAAGGAAAATAATTATTTAATATTCAACTAAAGTTGTTATTTATATATATAAAGTTCTAAAGTTTAATATGCTCTTGTATAATTATTTTATAATTTATCATCCATTGAAATTTTTCTCCTTTGTATATAGTTTTTTTTTTCTTTTGAATTTTTTTTTATATAAATTTGTATTTAATTTAATTATTATATGATCATTTATTCATAATATTTTGTAATATATTCTAGTTAATTGTATGATTTATTAATATAATACGTAGACTTAACTTATTGAGCGATCACAGTGATTAAAATGAGTGTTGCTCACTGTAGACATCTTGAGTTTGAGTAATTATATCTGCATGATATATATATATATACTATCGAAAGATAAAAAAAGATTATGTTTGATATTTTAATGAAAATAATGTAAATATAAATTAATGGATAATGACTTATTTAATTTTAAAAATTGTTTGATAATTTAATAAAAAGGTATAAAAAAATCCAAAGGAAAATATTCTAGAAAGTATTCAAGAGAAGAAACCGACTAGTGTATGGGGAAAAGTCCAAAGATATCAAAATCCAAATTAAATTATGCCTCAATTTGGTGAGCTACAACATTAAATGTTCCATTTATTGCTTATGTACTTCTTGTTTTTATTTGGGTAAATTACACGTTTAGTATTTAAATTATTAATTTTGATCCGTTTTAGTATCTAAAGTTTAGTTTTTATTTTATTTTAGTATCTCAGTGCTAAAAATTTAGCACGTTTAGTATATAAACTATAAGTTTTGATCCATTTTAGTACCTGAACTTTCATTTTTTTTCTTAAAAAATTAATGTTAACTATTGAATGGGGAACTAAAATGAAACGAAAATTAAACTTTAGGTATGGTTTTAAAAAAATTGAAAGTTTTGGTACTAAAACGGATTAAAACTGATAGTTTAAATACTAAACACATAATTTACCCTTTTTATTTTATTTTTATATTTTATATATTCATATTTAATAAATATTAACTTTTAAAAAAAATATTGAGTCATACATAATTATGATGAAGTTATTTTATCAAATATTTAATATTTAATTTATTTTATAATTTTAATATGTGATTATTATAAATTATTTAATCATTGACAACTTACACACTTTCGATAGACCTATTTATTCGAACATGAGAGTTTTAGAGAGAACAACGTTTTTTTAACCACTCAAAGTACTTAATGCATTAAATTAATTCCAAAATAGTCACTTGTGATTACATGAAGATATACAAGGAAAATGTTAAAATCTTACCTAATAAACTCAAATAAAAGGTAGACACGAACAAGTTTGAATAGTGGATCCAGAAATATTTTCAGGGTGGACACACATATATATTAATCACATAAAATTTTTATACATAGTGGGCACAACTAAAATTTCAGGGTGGGTACAACTATTAAAAATATAATTATCTGAAGAAAATTCGATTTTAGGATTGGCACGTGTCCACCCTAGATCCTTAACGGATCTGCCATTGACAAGTCTAGTTGCATCGACAAACTAATTGTAAAAATAGAACAAACTATTAAAAGACACCGACAAATCACAATTCAGAATCGAACGACATGAAAAATTATTAACGAACATAAATCATAAATTCAAATCCCTAAGGGTCCAAAGCAAGGAATATCAGCATGATAATAAATGAGTATCATCTTGATAGTTATGACGATATCAAATCTAATCTTAAAAACTGATAAATGAAAATAATGATC